GAAGTGAGAGCTGGACCATAAAGAAGGCTGACTGCTGAAGAATTGATGCTTTTGAATTGTGGTGCTGGAGGAGACTATTGAGAGTCTCCTGGACTGCAAGAACAAACCTATCCATTTTGCAGGAAATCAACCCTGAGTGTTCACTGTAAGGATAGATCCTGAAGCTGAGGCTCCAATACTTTGGTCATCTCCTGAGAAGAGAAATCTCCCTGGAAAATATCCTATTATTGGGAAAGAGTGAAGGCAAGAGGAGAAGGGGATGACAAAGGATGAGATGGTTGGACAGTGTCATCGAAGCGACCAACATAAATTTGACTCAACTCCCGGAGGCAGTGAAAGACAGGAGGGCCTGGCGTGCTGTGGTCCATGGGGTCACGAAGAGTCAGACACAACTTAATGACTAAACAACAATATACAGTATATATATTTCCGTGTTGAATCTCTTTCTCTTATGTCTGATGTAGTGGAATTGTCCACAAAATCTCACATCAATATACATATATTAATATATAATACATATACACACACACACACACACACACATACACACACACACACATATATACACATACACATACACATACACATACACATATACATCTACATCTACACATACATACATACATACATACATACATACTACATCTACACATACATACATACATACATACATACATACATATTAAGAGAAGATATATATACTACACTTGATCTTAGCCAAAAGGCCGAGAAGCGACACACACACACACACACACACACACACACATATGTATATGTTATATGTATATGTATATGTATATGTATATGTATATGTATATGTACAGTATATGTATATTGATGTGAGATTTTGTGGACAATTCCACCACATAAGAGAAAGAAATTCAGCACAGCAAGTATTTATACATGACATCAACATATAGATATCCAAATACCTTTCTGGCAGCCCATCTTTCACCCTTTCGTGGTGACTGGAGTACTTCAACAAGTAGGTCTGCAACGCGATTTTTTAGTTAATTTATGCATATAGATTTCAGGATGTCACCCTACACACACGCATGTAGGCTTAAGTGCCTCTGAATTCAGTGTAGTTTTGATGAAAAGGTACAGTAGTTCCTTTTTTTCCCCAGAGAGGTAGCCACGGGGCCATTTCAGCAAAACTGGAATTATTGCAGCACCTTCGTTTATTCCAGTTTGCGCTGTCACGGATTACAAAGGACGGTGAAACCAATGTTAGTCTTTAAGGTGCCACAACTCTTCTGTTTTTATTATAGTTGGTTTAGTCTAATTTGCTGCATGGACATTTGCTAGATATTTCAGTCAATAGCTTTCTAAATCTTTTCCTCCTGGAAATACAAATTAGCATTCACCCTCCATGATATAGGCATTTTTCAGCTACTTTGCCAGCTTAGCTGGTGGCGCGCCGTGATCGTATAGTGGTTAGTACTCTGCGTTGTGGCCGCAGCAACCTCGGTTCGAATCCGAGTCACGGCAAGCTTTTTTTTCCCCCTTCATTTTTGTGGGGTTCCCACAAAAAGCGATAACAAAATGTACTTTACTGAAGCACTCTTTGTGATCTGAGCTCTCTCCCCTTTTTGAAAAAGTAGGATTCTGATTTTCCAAACAGAGGTTATGTCAAGACACAAGAGCTGTGTTTTCCAGATATTATGTAAGGTTTTGGGAATCAAGAATCTGCAAACAAACGATCCAAATAAAATGTCTGAATCTTGACGCAAAAGGTGAGAGGTTTTATGTGTACAACAAATAAAAGGAAAGCAAATGAAATGCAGAGATCGTTCTGCTGAGCAAACCAGGACGTGTTATACTGCCTATAGAGATTTTTTTATTGAATTAATGGAAAACAGCGTGAAAATGTTATAGAGTTTTTATTCCAGGCGATAATAAGTACAGTAATACTATTTCTGCGCGGGAATAAAAAAAAGTACAAAATTTGAAGACTAAAAGAAGTGGCCCGTACGGGGATCGAACCCGCGACCTTGGCGTTATTAGCACCACGCTCTAACCAACTGAGCTAACCGGCCGCTCTTGTGACATAGGCTTCGATTTTCGTCCTTTCATACAATTCACGAGAGCGTGACGTCTCCCAAAATATGTTGGTCCGTTTCCAAATACTGTTTCCACACCGCGGTACAAAGGACGTCGGTTCCTCGTCTCTCATTGTGAAGGGAAATTCAAACAACTGTCTCCGTTTTTTTTCCACCGTGAGCAACAAAACGGAGAAAAAGGAAACGTAGTAATTCTGGCCAGCATGACTGCATGTTATAGCCAAACCAAGTGCTTTTCTATTCGTCCGGAAATCTCCGGGCGAAGATTTGACTCAGTAACAGAGTAAATACGAAATTTGGCAGTTTGTATTATCTTATATAGTGGTCCAATAAAAGGTATCACCCACCCTTACGTTTGTGTAATCTTGAGAACCGCACGACCTAATCCTTGTTCTTTCTGGAGCGGATACTGCCTCCACAAACGAGGGACGAAAAATATTCGGCGGGATTTATTTAATCCGAATTCTGTATTTTCTCCACCCCCCACACAGCAAAAGGTTGGATATTGTGGAATATGTACTTCTTCCTCTTCTTCTTCTTTTAAAATGTACTAACATGCGTGTTTTAGGCCACGGCTCACACAGAAGTGACAAATATTTTACAGTGTTCGTGTGGAAGCTGAAGAGAAAATCAAACTTTGTCACATTGTTCCTATACCATTCCTTTTGACCCAACTCCGGGAGGCAGTGGAAGACAGGAGGGCCTGGCGTGCTCTGGTCCATGGGGTCACGAAGAGTCGGACACAACTTAACAACTAAACAGCAACAACGATGCCATTGCGCTTGGGTGTCTAAGGAAACAATTCAATGGAAACCTGGGGCAGTTGGCAGAGAGCTGCTGTGCAGGGGTAGCATTGCCTTAGGGACCAGGTCTGCAAGAAAAATTGTACAGGTAAGTACTGTATCAGGATTTGGAAAAACTGCAGCAAAGGTGTTAGTCATCAGGGCAGAGCTAGTCATTAGCTAAGCTTTAGTGATTGCAGCAGGAAGCAAAGTTCTGGAGGTGGTGGTGCTGGTAGAGGAGATGCTGTCACCACTTCCCACTCCCCACTCCCTGAGCTGTCTGTTGCTTCCATCCCACCTCCAAAGTGTGGCTGCTTCTTTGTGAGTAATGTCTGGCCCTAAGGGACTTGGGTGACAAAGCATTATGGGGAAGGTCACCCCTCAACACACAGAGTGACCTGCCAAGAAGTGGCCATGCTGTGTGTGTGTGGGGGGAGGCAACTAGAACAAAAAAGGTGATGCCAGTGATGCCACCACCTTTTTTGTGGGGGGGGTCATCCTGGTGACAATCAGTGAGGGAGCAGAGGTTGCCTTCCTGCCTTATTAGCAGTATTAGTGGGGGGGGGTCATCCTGGTGACAATCAGTGAGGGAGCAGAGGTTGCTTTCCTGCCTTATTAGCAGTATTAATTGTAAGGATCAGAGTGTTGAATTAGCAGCATTGAAGTGGGACTTGGGCAACCCAGGTTCATATTGCTAGACAACCATGGAGGTCATTGAATGTCCTTTCTTGGTCCTCTCAGCCTAATGCACCTCCGTTAGAGCTAGCCCTCACCTTAAACTGAGCAAGAGCATTTCAAGAGTGAGAGTCACAAAGTTTCACAGTGATGTATTAACAGAATTCTTGTGTGTAGCATATGTCACTACACCACAGTGTGTCTGTCTGTGTACATTAAATTAATATATACATTTAGGAATCAGGGAGCATTTTCCATCTCCCATGGATATCTGAGGCAAAATGAAGCAGCTGGCTCAGACAGCCGCATGAAAGTATCATAAAAAAGACAGCAGATTGTTAGTTTTCCCAGTGTGTTGTTGGAGTTTTCCTGCCTGGAAAGAAGAAACCTGTTTATGCCAGTGTTGTGTATATTTGGCCCACAAGACCAAGGTGGTATTACACCATTTTGTTGGGATGAGCAAATGAAGATGTTTCTTTGAAGTATAAGAGCACCATTGTCTAGCTGTCCTGGGGTGGGCCTGGCACTACACTGTTTGTTGCTCTGCCTCAGGCAGGAAAATCTAATTGGCCAGCTCTGTCTCAGAGGAGTGTTGAGAGGACCAAAATGTGGAGGAAGACCATGTGTACCACTTGCAGCTCATTGAAGGAAATATAAAAGACACCAGTCATAATTAGGTGTGGCTGCAGGGGAATGAGTCACCTGTGAAAAATCAGGTGTTGATAAGACTGGGTTGCACTTCGATATAAAAAAATGTCTTTACCCAGTGTGTTGTTAGTCTATGGAACTCCTTGCCACAGGATGTGGTGACATATATAAACTAGATGCCTTGAAAAGGGGATTAGACAGATTTCAGGAGGAAAAGTCCATCTCAAGTTAGAAGCCATGATGGGGATGTATAATCTCCAGGCTTAGAAGGAAGGTGCATCCAAATGCCAGATGCGGGGGAGGGGTATCAGGAGAGAGGTACTGTATCTAGTTGTCTGGTGTGCTCCCTGAGGTATCTGGTGGGCCACTGGGAGATACAGGGAGTCGACTAGATGGGCCCTTGGCCTGATCCCGCAGGGCTCTTCTTATGTTCTTATGATAGCTAACTTATAATTGGCTTCCGTTTGGTATGGTATGTTGCCAAATCATCTGAGCAACTTAGACTTTGGTCTAAGGAAATACTATTTTAAAAAGTAAAATAATATATTTATTCCTTAGAGGGGGCATCATCGAGTTTTTAACAGTAACTTTAGGCGCCGTGGCTTAGCTGGTTAAAGCGCCTGTCTAGTAAACAGGAGATCCTGGGTTCGAATCCCAGCGGTGCCTCGTGTCCATGCTGTCGCTTTAGATGTTCTGTTTTGGAAGCTCTTCATTTCAGAACAGCATCCTCTGGATTGTAGCTGCCATCCCAATGTTGTATGTTTTCCACTCGATGACAGTCAAAGTGGGGCAAATTGTTACTACTGAGCTGCAGAAGAAAAGGCTCAAGCCACCGCCTGCGGTGTTCAGAAACCCATTTCAACTTCGTGAAGACTAAGCAGTGGGGGTGGAAGGCTGCCTCTTTGACCCGCCGACACTGTGGAATCCATTCCGCTACAGATAAATAATCAAGCAATTACAGTATTTAAACTGCCATGCACGTGTTAAGAACGGAGACGATGGTAGCTTAAACAAAAGAAAGACTTCTTAAATACAGTCAAAACGGCGATTATCATGTGGAATTATTTATTTGTGTATCTGAGGATGTGCACAGTGCTAATTCTGAATTACTGGGCTATCAACGGTGCATCTTAGGACCGGAGCACCTCGTTACATTCCCACGACTCGTGTTTCTTTCAGAGCCACCAGAGACCGGCGCTGCTTTAGGCAGTCTCTCGGACCCGCCATTTCTCCGCCACCGGCCGCTTTGTCTGTTGAAGCCTCGCGCACATACTTCTGCCTTCCCGTCACAAGGCACCAACGGGACGGTGGGGGGGGGCAGACCCCCCAAAAAGCGGGAATATTTTTGCTTCCCCGTTTTCTTCTGCCACAGTTCTGTCCTGAAAGCGCCTGCATTTAAGTGCGGCATGGTATAAAAACCACAATAGTTCTGAGGGGGTGTTCTACTACGCGCGCCCCCTCATACACACACTTCGTAGATGCAGTGTTGTAAAAGGTTCCCGAGTGTTGTGCGTGTGCAGTGTGTAACGGCCTGCAAATGCGAAAAGTATATATGCTTGTCAGAAGTGGGATTCGAACCCACGCCTCCAGGGGAGACTGCGACCTGAACGCAGCGCCTTAGACCGCTCGGCCATCCTGACAGCTGCTAACCAGTTTTCTCAAATTGATACTAGTAGTCCCCTCACTCATCACAGTGCCATTCCCTTCCACTTAGCACAACCATTTGCTAATACTGTAATCTTTTGCGAAGGTACTGCCCTTGCATAACTTTCTTTCACAAAACACCTGCTTGAATCTCCCCTTTATGATTATGTGTTCCTTCTGTCTTTTCGCTTCATTTGATAAGGAAATGAAAATCAACAGATTATTCTCTGTATTCTCGAAGGCTTTTACAGCCGGGATCTGATGGTTGTTGTGGGTTTTTCGGGCTCTTTGGCCTTGTTCTGAAGGTTGTTCTTCCTGACATTTCACCAGTCTCTGTGCCTGGCATCTTCAGAGCACAGAGTTCTGCCTCCTGTCCTCTGAAGATGCCGGCCACAGAGACTGGCCAAACGTCAGGAAGAACAACCTTCAGAACATGGCCAAAGAGCCGGAAAACCCCACAACAACCAGATGATTCTCTCTTCTGCCAGAGGTTCCTCTCTTGAATCTGTACAAGCAGACCTCTCCAGAGAGACACTCAAAGCCCATTCTGTGTAACTGAACAGGCTATAAACTTGCTGTACACACACAGAACATGAAACTCATGAGAAATAGCTGACAGTTGAGCAAGCAAAGAGCCCTTTCCCCCCATTGCTGGATGGAGAAATAAGGTGTAATTTGCAATTACTGTACATAGTACAAGTCTGAGGAGGCATTGTGGCCTATGGCTAAGACCAGTTTCATTTGTTACTTATTTCAGAGACAAAATACTTCTCAGAAATCATGTAACTGGTGCAATACATTTGCGAGGGCTCAGCACTGAGATAGCTCTGGGGTGCAATATGTTGCAAATCGATGCAAGAGAAGTAGCAGCAAAATTCCTGAGTTGATGTATTTGCACCACTGTCCCACTCCAAACCCCGACTGGCATCCTTTGATGCTCATTTTAAAAAAAGCCCAGGAGATGTATATTAAATTTGTGCTGAAAACACTGGAGTAAATATCCAGAATTGCTGGAGAAGGGATATCCCATTAGCATGGCACACATTGTTATCACACACACAAAATTACTTATTAATTCACGTTACATATGAATGTGAGAAGCAAGTAAAACTTAATTGGTCCTTCCCCCAATCCCCCAGAATGACTTCTAATTCTACTTTTCCCTCTTGTCCACTTTTTAATTTAATTTTCAAACAGTATTTCCCTCTGTGGTTCTTCCTCTCCCTCCATTTTTATCTTCACAAATACTCTGCAAGGAGAATATGACTAAGAGAAAGTGACAGGCCCAAGATCACTAAGCGAGCTTCATTAGCTCAATGAGATTTGAACTCTCTCCAAAAAGAGTCCATTCTGTCCACTACACTATGCCAGCTTTCCTCCATTTTTGTCCATTCTTCTGCATTTCCATTCCCTGAATATTGTAGTTTGAACACCACAGTATCATTTATTTATTTATTTATTTATTTATTTAATATCCTGCCTATCTGGTCGGTTAAGACCACTCTATTAATACTTATTCTAGATCTTCGTGGTATCATACATTTAAACTCTGAGTTAATGATCTTTCAATAATTATTTTGAGTAATGAATCGAAACGTAGTCCAGATTAGCAGACAGCTTCAGTTTCCAATATAAGGTGGCCTTGAAAGGGTCATTCACTCGGATATAGCAACTGACATGCTGATCCTAGATTTACGATAGAGACACAGGTCTATTCAACTCGTAGTGGTCCATAATGGGTACATGGGAAATCACAATATTATAGGGGCCGTTCAATATAAGCCATTTCCAGATCTCTATGGCATGTAATTCAACCAATTACAAGTAGGGCAAATCTTTCCTTGTCCTGAAGGATATGCTCACAGAGAATAAGTATTAACACATATAGTAGTGCTCAACACACTTTATTTAATAACACATAATAACAAGTTTGTTGTACATGACAACCACATGGTTTTTGCATAAATGGAAGGTTGATGGTTTGGAGCACCGGTTAAAAGCCAAAAAGAAGTTTGAGGTCTGCCAGGGTCAGTTTTGTCAAGCAGTCACTTTTTCCTGATAGCACTTTCTGGGCCAGCTCTTTCTTCTTAGCTTGCAGCTCTGAGATCTTCTCTTCTACCGTCCCTTCACAGACAAACCTAAAACCAAGCATGACACACAATCAGAACAAATTCTGTGCAGCCCTCCTGGGTCAAGCTGTTAAACTATCCAATCTGTGACCACTTGAACCCATACAAAGTAGACAAGGGGAGCGGGATAGAAGAATTTTGCTAACACAGTGTAATCTTCACTGAATAAATCTCATAGCTCTTAGAAATTAAATGCCAATAATGATGTTAAGAGACACTGAGCAGTATTTGACCTGTGGATCGTGACATCGTTTCGCTGCCCCACCCGATAAATGCGGTCACAGGCTTGGTCCTCCAGTGCTGGATTCCTGAAATATAAGAAAATTCCTCCATTGTTCTGTTGCTTAACTGAGCTAGAAGAAGGTATTTCAGTCCATACATTAAATCCACCAGATTTTAAATTGCAAACTGGAGATTTGCTTGATAAATCCGGATATGCTTTGGAAGAAACTGTGATAACATGAGTCTTCTTCCCCAAGTACACATTCTTCTACTTTCTCCTCTACTTTATGTGACACATCTGGAGTTGTGCTTGTATATGAACAGGGAAGGGGCAAGGTCTTCTCTTGGGGGTCCAAACTAAAACCTTACTCAGAAGAGGATTAATTCAGGTGGCAGATCTCAGCCAAGCTGAGGGGGCAAATTTCAATTAAGCTGGCAGCCCACGAACGGTACCCTTGACAAAGAAGCAGCCAAAAACTGGCAGCACCGCTTCCATACCACTTTTCAGACTTCTTCACAGCTATTTTATTTCTGTTTCAATGTCCTTGAAAACCGTGCTTTAATATTGCTTACAAGTTTCTTTCTTTTAAATTGTAGACCCTGCTTTTAATTTCCTTAACTGCATTAGGAAATCCTCACTCAGACTAAGTGCTTCCTGAATTCCTTCTGGGTTAACTGTCAATCAAAAACCAGAATGTAGTTACTCGAGTGAAAACCCCATACTCATGAAAGAAATTAAGGTAAAGAAATAGAATTTTAAACCACAATAAAAGCTGTAAATGTCTTAAAATTTTTAAAACAAGTTGGAATTAAAATAACCATGGATATGCTAGAAAAACAGTGCCACTGGTTTTCGGGAACTTAAAAAAACCTAGTATTTCAGGGATGTGCAAAAATGGTCTTGGAGACAGGATGCTACCTGCCCCTCAATAAGCTAGTACAAGGATATGTTTATTGTATTATTCAGCCAGAAGGCAGCAGGAACATACAAGACATTAAAAAAACCAAATGTAAGGAAAAACCAAATATATATTTGAAGCACATTAAATAAGGATATGATTTGTTTTTGAAAATCCAACTCAGGTGAGATTCTTACAGCAGCAAATACACATTACCACTCTTAGAACTCAGCACATTAATACCCTTATTTTCAATTTAGAAATCAAATCTCCCTTCTCTTTACCAATGCATGTCAAGGAGGAAGAGATGGTTCCCTCCTACCAGGTTCAAGCCAACACCTCCGGCCAAGAGTGAGATCAGCATAACCTGTGACAAGTGAACAAGAGAAAGCAGTTTGTTATTTCACAACATATGGATACACCATTTCTTCTAAGTTTGGTTTAAGCTGAAGTTCACATAATAAGATCCCAAGTAGTTTGCTATCTTTCATTACAATCTAAGGTAGCACCAACTTGCTCTCCCTCCTCTTCCTCTTGTAGCCCTCTGTTGCATCCAGAAACCTCTTGCCAGCCCTCTGGGACAAATTTTGAGAACATGTAAACGGAGCAGGGGAAAAATCTCCACCTCCTGGTTTTGAAGACAGAATAGGTTCCATCAACACAAAACACAGTTTGACTCAGGCTCTTATTTATAGCATATGTTTTACCAGAACTACATTCTTTGAGAGGACAACATGCCATAAACAAAGAATATTTACTGATTTCATACATACAGAATCAAGTCTCCACTAGCTACTCCTCTTTTGCTTCTCCCCACAGGGATTTTGCAATGCTATCCTGTTTAGGTTACCATGTATAGAAGAAATGCAAAGCTACTATACCAATAAGAATTAAAAATTTTTAACAGATGCAGCTTGTCAAGTAGACGCTCTATTAAAAATGTATTAAAGCTGCCACCTTGTGCATATTTAGGAACAACCATCATTAAACTTAATGGCTGAAATCCAGTAGTACACTGCAACTAGAGTCGGCCTACTAAAACAATGGCATTTACTCTCCAGATAACCACTGATTCAATGGGCCTACTTTAGTTGCAATTTACTACTGGATTTCAGCCAATGAAATACAGTATTTCATGAACATGCGCATGGAGGTATAGTTGACATCCAGAAACTGTACATGTTTGTATGCTGTTACATGGAGGGAAATGTAATTTTGTTATTTGGCTGAATGATACACATGTTTCTGGTTTTTCCACCTATGACTGCCTGCAAACTGTCTAGTCCTAAGATGAGGAATTTGGTTGTTGTTGTTTTTTCTTCCTAAAATCACCAAGTTCTCAGAAAGTAAAAATTCTTGGCATTGCACTGAATGTTGCCATGAGATCTACATAGCTGTGACCAAAATCACTATGAGTTCTGGACTGTCTGTCTGTCTTTCTGTTCAGAGTGTAGCTTTATCTTTGATGCGTAAGCTACTCAGTTCATTGCCAAAAAAATTCTAATGTTGTCTAATATTCTTTAGCTGATTGACTGTGGGGTTAGTCTTTCCAGTAGAAAATGATAATTATGTATAAGATGATATAGATTTATACAGTGTACAACCTTCTGCTACAAACTTTGGTTATTATTTTCTTTTTAACAGTTCTTTATTGAGAAAAATACCAATTAAAAAAAGATAATTGTTAATTTAAATTTCATCTGAATTAAAAAACCTAAGTGACAAAATACAACAAAGTTAAAAAATGCTTTTAGTGAACATATTGGGATAAAAGGCCTAATAGCTTCATCCCTACCTGGCAATTAAAGATCTAACTTGACACAGTTGTCACAACAGCAACTAGCTACTAGGGAAAGAGCACCCAAAACAGCTTGTCCCATCTCTTTCCCATACCTCGGGTCCTTTAGAGTTATTGTTAAATTCCTCAACAGCATCCATCCTCTGTTTAGGATTCACAGATCCATCCACTGTGGCATATCTCAGACCAAGCTTCTCTAGGTGCGCAGCCACCACCTTTAACATACTAGTCCATTGAGAGACGACGACACTAGAAAGGTATGGGGAGAAAAATGCAGTACATGTAATCTGTGGTACAAATTTAGTGACAATAACACAGTCCTCAAAGGCTTTAAGGAAGTTACTGTTCTCTCACCTCAGTCCAGCCCTTAATTTTTACCCTTTCTGCATGTGTTCTGTGATGTCAAATCAGAACCAGCTTATAGTGACCCTAACAGGGCTTTCAAGGTAGGTGAGATATTTAAGGAGTGGCTCTGCCAGTTCCACTCACCCAGTGAATTTCCAAGGCTGAGTGGGAGTGGGGATTCGAACTCAGTTCTACAGAGTCTTGGTTCATCATTCTATCCACTACACCACAATGGAATAATCCCTGTAAAGGGAATTTTTCTCTTTACAGGCTGTCAGGCTACCTTACAGGGCTAGTATACAAACTGTTAAAGACATGGTTATACACAGTACATCGGTGAAGGCTTCTGGGAGCTGCAGTCCAAAACTCCTGAGTAACCCAAGGTTAAGAACCAGTGCACTACACCACAATAGGATAATCCCTGTAAAGGCTGTCAGGCTACCTTACAGGGGTAGTATAAGAATTGTTAAAGACATGGTTATACACAGTACATCAACACACTAAAATATACTACATAAAAGGTGTAAGCTATACCCACTACCTTTTATAAACGATCCACATTTCTGTTTCTTCCCGTGCATATCATAGATTCCAACATATTCAGGATCTTCAGTCTGGGCTTAAGTGTGTCAGATATTTTATCACAGAACTCTCCTCCTCCTTTAATTGTTCTATTAGCATTTTTCTTTTCCCTCAAGTATTCACCCCATAATACATGGGCTTTCCATGTCTATACCCATTACCTTTTAAAAACGATCCACATTTCTGTTTCTTCCCGTGCATATCATAGATTCCAACATATTCAGGATCTTCAGTCTGGGCTTAAGTGTGTCAGATATTTTATCACAGAACTCTCCTCCTCCTTTAATTGTTCTATTAGCATTTTTCTTTTCCCTCAAGTATTCACCCCATAATACATGGGCTTTCCATGTACTCACTCATTCAAAGGCTGGTAGTGGCCTGAATCCAACTATTATTTCCAATTAGAGGGAAAACACTGAATCAATACATCTTATATAAATGTTGACGCACCATTCAACCATGGAAGCAATTGGTCTGTGCTCTAGCTGGGACTGCCCCTAGTCTTTTGCTTCAGGACAGGGGATTGCATATTTTTCCCACCATTTACTATATTTTGACATTATAAAGTATCACAAAATCCATAGCACTACCCTGAAAAAACAACAACACCCAATGTGCTCATACTTACCTTTTCTGGGAATGACCCTGGATGGCCTTCAGCTCTTTCAAGAGATGTGACAGCTAGAAATGTGAAAGCAAAGTGCATTTACAGCCTAATCTCAAGTACACTTACTCAGAATTATGATTCAGTTCCACTGAATTGAATAAGACTCATTTTGAAATAGCTTTGCCTAGGACTGCAGCTTTATTTATTTAGAACCTTTTTATTCTGAGTCTTAGAATGACTTACATAAGGTCAGTAACAAGCAAGGTATTCCCTACCCTACACATATAATCTAAAATACATAACACAAAAAAGGAAAATGCAATGGAACAGGAAGAGGAAAACAATGAATATTACATAGTAGTTCTTATGATGATTGCCGTGAATGGACAAGTTGGGAAGGACACCCAAAAAGAAGGGTGAGAAACAAGCAAGTGCCTATTCCTGCTTACCACATTGATTGGAAGGAGAAACTAATTCACAGATATCAACCTTCCTCTTGTGGGGAAAAAACCCCTAAAAAGGATTGCCACAACATTCCAAGACTTGAAAATTTTCCCACTACGAATCCCAGAATCTACCTGTCAGCACAGCTATCATGTCAGCTGAAGGATCCTGTGTGATGTAATCCACCAAAGCAACTTTTCCAACCTTTGTGAGCTTCATACCTTGGTGCTCTGCTTAGTGGTTTCAAAGAGTTCTGCTTTGAAAGCTGCACCCAGGAGATACACCATTGAGTGAGGGTCACCACTCTCAGATTCAGATAAAGTCAAAGCATTGAGCTGCTCCTCCAGGGAGAGAGAGATGCCTTCACTATTCAGGTTAGCCTTGTCCAAAGCCTGCAATGAAAAGAACACATTTAGGGCCTGAAACCTTCTGAACTTGGATACACCACCTGTGAAGCCGTCAATAATTCTAGGTCTGTCCAATAATTACCACTTTCAGCAAAGAAAGATGGCAGCAACACTGACGGAGCCTCAGTAAGAGGGACAAGATGTGAATAGTGGTGGAGATGGGAGGAGGATCTCTGCCAGTCTTTCCCAAGGCTTCCTGTTGACCAACACCTGTCAAGGAACAGGTGTAGAAGCAGATATTATTCAAAGCTTATTTAAGACCAGAGCGTGGAAAATATCCTTCTTTAGGTTAAACTCTCTACAATAAAAATAGTCAGTCTAGTTGGAGGATTCTGAGAGCGGTGGTACCAAAAAACAAAACAAAACAAAAAATTGCTGCAGGGTGGGCAGAACCTGCATCACAAACACCACTACACATTTCTATGGGTACTCACAATAAAAATAGTCAGTCTAGTTGGAAGATTCTGAGAGCGGTGGTACCAAACAAAAAAATAATAAATAAAAAAAGGAGGGGGGGGACGTTTCCAAGTTCTGAGAAGAAAGAGAGAAACAAAAAGAGCCTTGGCACACAGCTCTTCTGCAGACTTTCCCAGACAATGCAGTAGCTGACACTATGCCATTATTTTGGAGATTGCTAACATTCAATAGGAAATTAGTATTGGGGGGGGGGGGGATCCTGTTGACCAATACCTGTCAAGGAACAGGTGTAGAAGCAGATATTATTCAAAGCTTATTTAAGACCAGAGCGTGGAAAATATCCTTCTTTAGGTTAAACTCTCTACAATAAAAATAGTCAGTCTAGTTGGAGGATTCTGAGAGCGGTGGTACCAAAAAACAAAACAAAACAAAAAATTGCTGCAGGGTGGGCAGAACCTGCATCACAAACACCACTACACATTTCTATGGGTACTGGAAAAGGGCAGTCTGAATTCTAACCTTTGTCAAAAGGGTTATCCCAGGCTGTCCCAGTATACCGAGCCTCCTGCCTTCTCAGATAGGACTGCAGGGTTGACCTAGTCAAAGACAATGAAAGTACAGTAAGGAACATTCAGGCGGATTTGCTTCCTCGGTTTTATATAAGACAGGTGGGCAGATGGGGGTATTTTCAGCGGAAGGAAAGGAAACCTGGGAAAGAGCAATGTGTCAGCTGAACAAGTGCCAAAAAACAAGCAGCCCCCCCACAAAACCTCTGATCACAGAGATTGAATGTAATTATATTAATTAATGTAACGTTTAATTAAAAAAGAGATCATTAAATTGAACAGCCTATCATTAAGGCAACCCTGGGAAAATGCTTATGCTCCCAAAAGGAAAAACAACAACCAAGTAACAACGTTAAAGATGGCACCAACTAGCCTGGATGAGAGGGAGGCAGAATCTAATTGTAGTATACTTTATCTAATAATCAGAGTTCTAGCAACATACAATTTTAAAGGGAAATATATTGTGGGAAATGTTTGAAGCAACAAGAAAAGTGTTAATTATGCCTATTTCATTTAACCATTATACTGCAATTTTAAGGCAGGGTGGACTAACATCCCCCCCTCCCCACTAAGGCTTGTATACCATTGGTAGCGATTCATCAGAAAAGTCATATGCTTGGAGTGGGGGGCCAGGCAAATGCAGAAGTGAGTGCAAGGGAAGGGGACTCCTTCTCTACTGTCTTTCATGTCTTAGTACCATGAACCTAAATGTGTAAATATATTTAAGCTCAAGAAAAAGAATATCACCTAGATGGTGACTTTTTGGGAAAGATACTTTTTTGGACATGCTATTTGAGGATTATGGGACCTATAGTATGCCAAGAAAAAACTTTTCCAAGCTTTTCTACCACACAAAAAACTGAAACAATGGTTCACAGGACAGCACATTCACATTAGTAAGGGTACAGGAGAAGAGAAAGGGTTTTGTATTCATCCATTAATTCATTCTGAATGCCTTCACAGACACCAATCCTACCTCGATCTTGCAAAGAGTACATCATACACTGACTGTTCATCTTCTGCAAGTTTCAACCTGTGCAGTCGAGTGAGACGCTGAGGCAGTGGTACCTAGACAAAAAGTGATTGTTAGAAGAAGTCCTGCATAGCTGGCTACACAACACAACTGTCAAAAATCTGTATGGGATTGGCTTCTTCAAGGAAAGGTCCAGCTGTTTCATTTTGCATAATGTTCCAAGGGTTAAAAGGGTGGTATGCAGATGATTTAAAGGTTTCTTCCATGGTTCTTTAATGCTTAGCCCCCAGACCTTTAAGTCCAATATCAAACAGATCTTTCACACAACCAACATTCCATCTTAGTGAGTTAACTTTTGCTTGATAAGTAAGGCTTAAAAACAGTTATACCCATCTGGAAGAGACCCATTTGGTTCCTGGGAGCTTATAAAATACTTATATAAGTTCTACTGAGTCTATGTGTCTACTCCAGTTGGGACTGACAACTAGGTTTAGTTCCAACATTCCCAGTGCTTAAAATCCCCTTAGATGTGCCTAAGCAAGAAATCAAAACAGTGGTGCGCACAGCAGATGTCACCATTTTGTAGATCGCTCCATCCAAAATAAAATTGGCTAGCAGATAACTGAAGATCTTGTGTTCAGCTCTATGTTTTATTTGTTTGCTTACTTTCAGTGCAAGCAGCAGGTCAATCCCTCCATTCCCCCCCCCCCAAATTAAAACAGGTAAGATTAAGTGTACATGTGCAGTGGAATGAAATGGGAGAGCATACCGTGTGCTGATTGAGACTGCAAATAAAGGATCACACAATTGATTGTTCTCTCATGTGCAAAGATTTAAAGCATATCAGGAAGATCTTTTTAGCCCATCTCCTTTTTTTTGAAAAAGAAATACATAGTACCTGATTTTAAAAAAATCTTATTAATGGAATCATGAAAAATGTAATTTCTCCACCTGCAATCTGAAATGATACAACCTGTTCCACCACTGCAGTTGTCTGATCCATTTGTCTGGGTCAGTACGGATTAGATCCGGACAATACTGACCATTAGTGAATAAGCCAAGAATTGTTGATACAGTTTCCTTTCTTATCTTGAAGGAGAGAAACAAACAAACACATGAGAAAGGCCAACTGATACCAATGGCTTGCCCAATGAATCCAGCTGGTCCTTCGTTCTTCGCAGTAAGAGGCTCCTAGTTAAAATGGCCAGTCTCTCTCCTCCTTTTCTTGTGTTATTATCCACCTGATTCTTCCATACTCTGAATTCATCAAATGGAGAACAGCGAAGGAATCTGTGGTGACAAAAAAAAATTAGTCATTGAAGGCTTAGTGACACATGAGGTACCCTCAATACTGCAGCAAATCAGAGAAAATTATTTTCCATCTGAACCTACAGGGTCAATGGTCACCTCACATTTAAACATGCCTATTTCTACATACTTTGCATGGGTATCTTCTTTCCACAAATGTCAGTCGCTCTCTAGGCATACAGGTGTGTGCCTTTCCTGTAGGCCAAGTAAATGCACCCGAGACTATGTGTGAGCAGGGCTCGCAATTTAAAGTCCTTTAAGATAGATACTGGCAAATGAGGCTGAATTTAGAACCCCGTGTAAACTCTTTCATGGCCACTAGTGAAATCAACTTACCGTAGCAAAGAGTACATATCCAACAGGTTGTTCTGAATAGGTGTCCCAGTGACAGCCCATCTGGCAGTAGCTTTCAGCTTACAGGCAGCTATTGAGGTCTGCACTTTGGGGTTTTTGATGTTATGGGCTTCATCCAGTATAATTCGAGCCCAGTGTATCCAGGGCAATGGAGAGAAAGGAAGGGATTTATCCTACAGCAGAAGACAGATTTGGAATTGAAAGGCCTAAGTAAAGGGGACTGAAATAAAATACACATATTGGAGTCAGTTCCTAATTCAATTAGGTCAGAAAGGGAAACAACCAGACTGACTTCTTAACATTCTGTTACAACATCCCTTTCTATTTACAAGGATTTCATACAAAACAAGCAATTAAAAACACTTCGTACTGCAGCTTTAGAGACACTACAAATATGTGCCAACTCACTTAACTCTACAATGACAAAACTCAGTTAACTATGAATCGAAACGAATTCAACAAATTCAACAAATGTGATCTGTTCAATGGGGATAGCCTAAGCCTTTTGGTTGGGAGAAGAGGTGACATGAACATTGAGAAATTGGGTTTTCCAACAGGGAAGAGAAAAAGGAAGACTTAAAGAGAATAGGACAATATGGAAAAGAGAAGACTGTCTCATTCTATTCACTGGAAGTCCCCCCTCCAAATTCCTTATATTCCACGCTTTAGGACACGTAACAACCATATTTTCATATCTCTTTCTTAGTTGACAATGATGTAACAGTGAAAAAATAAGGATGGACAGATCTACAGTATCTGTTTCTGACCAGGGCTACTTTCACACTGTTTAATCATTAGTCCAATTCTGTTGAGTTACTGCATCAATTTGGAATTCCCTCCTTTAAAAGTCCACACAAATACCTGGATTTCAAACAGACTCTGAAATCTGCAATTTTACACATGTTCTCTCAAAATATGCATTTTTAAACATCAAATTTTGATGCTCTTTTTTTGAGCAGAGAAATACATCAGAACATTTGGAGAAGTGCAAAATCCAATGAATAGATAGTTACATTCCGATCTTTATGTTAGTGTAGAAGAGGCAGATTCTATCAGTTCATATTGGTACTGAAAAGACCAAATTCATTAACAATTATTCTGTGAAACATGAAAATGCATTTTTTTTTGTTCAGTTTATAAACCAGGAGACAGATATGGGGAGGAAACAGCACTTTTGTGACAGCACATTAAGAGTTGCAAGCACATGCCCACCCCATGCTAAAGGAAGTAAATTTAATACTTGTTTAAAAGTAGCTGACATGTTTTTGAGTAAAACAATCCTTCAGAGTTTTCAAATGAGTTGGTTCATGCGTATGTATCGGTTTGTTGTTTAAATCAATAAATAACAGAGAAGGCCTCTGTTTATGGCCGAAGATGCAGTATTGCACTCCAAACATGCAGCTTTTTATGAACCACAATTATGTTTGTTTCATTTAGTACATGACATTTTGAACTCTTCTTCCTCAACATCAAAACCACCCATGCATCCATACACTCCGTTAAAAATTCAATGACAGCTTTCATCTCTATTCTAAAAGCAAGTCCCCACATTCCAATCACCTCCACGTGGAGGTCTTCAGCAGCAGTCTCTGCTTCTTCCTTATGTGTAGGAATTTCCTTAGCCAGAATACTGTACGTAGTGACAACTATATCGTATTCAGCAAGCCTGCAGAGAAAAGCAAGGATGGCTGCTAAGCGACATGATCTACCATAACTGTCATATGTGTGATTTTTTTCCTATACAGTCTAGAGACAAAATCAGTCCAGCTGCTTTCAAAAGGGTGAATTAAAGTGTGAAATTCAGGATTCAATCTTACAATTTTACTCAGAAGTTACATTGTTTCCAATAGGAATTACAGCCTATGGAGAATTTCAGATAAGCCACCATTGGGTTCTCTTAAACTAAGGACAAATGAAGTGACAATTAACTTGCATTTTGTAAAAATGTAGATAAATCAGTATAGCATGTGTGTTTTGACTCCAAATCCAGTTTAACAGAATCATCCTAGCACATCAGTAATGAAGTTTTTACTGCAACTGGATGTGCAGCAATTGACAATGGCAACTAGATAGATCAGATGGAATGACAGATCTCTCCTTATAACAGTTGGAAACCTGTTTCCTCATCCACATGTACACTGGCCCTTAGGGGAATCATGCAGTTTTTTCCACTGCTTAAGCAAAGAGGTAGGTGCTGCTTCCATGAGGAAGCACAGTGTCCTGTTGAAAACAGAGGCCAACATCCTCAGGGTTGCCTGAAGCTCTCCTACAGCTGTCCCGCAAAAGCATCCATCTTTGACCTCACCACACCAGAGGGGAAGGCCGCATTGCTGGTGGCACTTTTGCTCCCTCCCCTCCCCATTGTGACTGAAGAAGGCCCATCAGTGGAGCATGATGCTCTTCCCATGGTGAATTGAGTGACAAATTTAATACACCAAAGCTCTGATTCAAGGTCCAGATTTCCGATCCTCTTTCAGGATACTCACTCTACTGAAACTACCTTCTAGCTTTGCACTTACGCAGTGGTATTCTTAACTCGGTTGGATCCATGGTAGAGACAGACCTTCAGCTTCCCACTTTTGACGTGTCTTTCCACTTCCTTTTTCCAGTGGTGGACCAGAGATGCAGGGCAGACAATCAGAGTGCCGTGGGAGATGATAACAGAGAAATCTTGAAATAAAACATTAATAGATGAATTTAAGTGGGACCTGAAATTTTAAAAAGTTTCAGCAGGAATTTTTTTTCTACTCAGCTTTCCAGTCACTCTTTCCCATTATCCTGGCCATTTGCCCATGCTCAGGATTGGTCATTTGCATTCCTCCTGCACTGTCAACAGTCCATGCCCACTGAGAATATTTTAGATTTTATTCAGCTGGAGTTTGGTGTCTGTGTGTGTCTACCTTTCTAAAAATTATCTGCAGAACTGCAGATCTTTGGCTCCCCTAAATTCACTGCCACCTTCCTCTCCATGTGGGGCGGTGCATTTTGGTCATTTAAGGATGAACATTCAGAAAATTGAGGTCACTATGTTTTAACGTATTGTCTCTGTTTCTAAATTCCATAGGACAGCTGTGCTATTCTTGTAGAACACGGCGGCAAGACTTCTTATAGGGGTGAAAAGATACCACCATATTTCCCCCACTTTGGCCGCCTTGCATTGGCTACCCATTCACTTCTGCATTGATTTCAAAGTCCTAACGATGACATATAAAGCCCTAAATGGTTTAGGGCTCAATATCTGGCAGAGCGCCTCCTCCCATCCAGTTCTGCCAGAGCCACTCGTTCCAGCCAGGCCAGGCAGCTGAGGGGCCTAACGCCGAGGGAAGTCTGAAAGGAAAGAATGAGGAACCAGTCCTTCTCGGTAGTGGCCCCTTGCCTCTGGAACGACTTGCCTGTGGAGATCTGCATGGCTCCCTCCCTGGGTGTCTTCAGGAGTAAAGTTAAGATTTGGTTATTTGGGCAGGCTTTCCCTCCTTCCGTAACTTAAATTCTACATTTTTGCCATCTTGAATGTATGTATATGTTTATCGGTCTAACTGTTTTTTTAAATTTGTAATGCCGCCCAGAGTAGACCTTTGGTCTAGATGGACAGGGTAGAAGTCTAGTAAAATAAATAAATAAAGTCTAACAAATTTCTTACTGCATGAACTTCCACAGAAAGACCGCTGTTTCCTCAGTTTTCAAACAACAGCAATACAGCAGATAGGTCCCTCACTGAGTGTATTTCCTTTTTCATCATCCAATGCAATACAGTCCAGTTTTTCAGACTGCACATAAGTGAAAGAGAGAGGCAATGAAATCATCATGCTGTCTCCCTACCTTGTTTCGACAGCCACATTTCCAGTTTCTTCTCCTTTCCTTCCTTCCTTTGTACAGATTTCTGAGCCAAGATAAGTGCAATCATTGATAAAGTCTTCCCTAAGCCCATATCATCCGCTGAGAAGAGAAAGCAGTATAAAATAAAACAGAAATCAGACACAGACCCCCAACATTGACCGTAGCGTATCCCTTGCGTCTCTGACCTATGTCAGTCTCATCGTTGTGACGGGTGTTCCCCTTCAGGGGCAGGGATGAGGAACTGCAAGCCCCTGGGGCCTCTCCTTCTGATCTATGGCCCCCAAGAAGTAGAATTTTCAAAAGGCAACTGAACTTCAAAATAAAAAAAAGTTCTCCATCCTTGCCACTGGGACTGTGGTTTAATTCAGTCGAATTTACTTTCCAGTTACTATTATCGTTACTCTTATTCTTATAATATTTACATGCTCAAATAGATCCAAAGGGAAAAACAATACAGTGGTGCCCCGCATAGCGAGGTTAATCCGTTCCGGATTAACCATCACTATTCTGAAACATCGCTAAACGGAACAGAAAAACCCATTGGAACACATTAAACTTCGTTTAATGCGTTCCAATGGCCCCCAAACTCACCGTTCAGCAATGTTCCTCCATAGCGCAGGCATTTTCGCGCCCTCGGTAAGCGAGGGCGGGATGCGAAAACGCTGCGCGTGGCCATTTTGGGTCTTCCGGTGGCCATTTTGGAACTGCTGACAGCTGTTCCCCCAACATCGCAATGCAAAGATCGGTAAGCAAAACGCTTACCGATCGTCGCAAAGCGATTTTTGCCCATTAGAACCATCGGATCACTATGCGAATTCGTCATTAAACGGTGCACTCATTATGCAAGGCACCACTGTACCACTAGCTAGCAGGAGGAGGGGATTTTACTGAAGGGGATTTCCTCCTTCTTTTCAGTAAGAAGCCCCAATTTTATAAGAAAAAAAATGGAGTAGGTAAGGGAGCTGGTGTGACCCTCCAAGATGCAAGAAAAGGCATTTACAGCTAGTAGATCTCATGAGATTTCCCGTCCTAGCATAAGGATTGGGTTGTAATGATTCACAGCTCCTCAGCAATTGTCTTCTCTTATTTCATCAGGGATAATTAAAATCCCACAAGGACTAGACGCCAGATTTGCACTGAACCCCAGCGTCTTCTCAGGGTTCAGATTAGATTCTTCCACAATACGGTTAGAGTAAAAGAAAACTCCACCATTCAACAAAAAGTTAACTTCATTACAAGTACCTTTTTTCACAGCATATAGTCCAGAATCATACAATGCCTAGAAATTCCTTACCCAAAATTCCTCCACACGGTTTCTGATTCTCTCGCCACAGCAGCCAAGCAAGTGCCTGCTTCTGATGCAGCAGTAGAGAGACCTGAGAAAGTCAGTCATAAAGTATGGAATTAATTGCCACTTCTAAGTCAAATTTTCTAGTCTATAAACCACACAATATCCAAAAGGTAACCAGAAAACATATACGCCATTCATTGCTATTTTTATTCATTACTATTTACATTTCAACTTTAGTCTCAATAAAAGAATAATGTTTACTTTAGTAGAACTAATTTCATTTGTTTATGAAAATGCTCAGTCACAGGCTCTAGCATGAACCTAAAAATTATGGATCAAATCAACTGTTATTCTCAGCTAGAGTACATCCACTGAATGGATGTGACTTGTTAAATCAGCACTTCAGTGGGTCTTCTCTGGTTAGGACTATCAACTGGATTTAACATCCTAAATCTAAGTTTATCCTCCAAATAAAAGTAAAGTAAGGAAGCGTGAGGCAATTCTCAACCAGAGTGCAGTTCTTTACAAGCGATCTTTTTTATATGACTAACTCTGATGGGAAGAATTAAACAGAGGATTTAGGACTAAGGTTGGGGGTATCTTTTATTTCAACAGACAAAAACAAGCTCATACTTCATGGAACCAGAATTTCATCAGTTTGGTATATCAGTGGATTTTCGGATGAGAAAGTCCATAGTAGATAGCCAACATGCTTTTTAGTTTAAGCAAAGTCAGGGAAACATTGAGAGGGAACAGTTTGGGTGGAAGCAAGTTGTATAATGATTTTCTTGGTTCCTGCTCACCTTCAAACCAGGTGGATCTTCAGACACCGTCTCCATTGTGGGGCATGTCTCTAGGGATTTGTGCAGCTGATTAATTGCATCACTTGTGGCATTGTACACAGCTTGAAGAGGATCTTCAGTCATTCTCCCTATATAAAGAACAACCATATGGACATTCTCTGGAAGCCAGGATCAGGAAAATAGAACAACGAGCAACTATAGCACTGAATCATAAGACAATGTGATACAGAAGGTAATGAATTAAGCAAAGCACCTGAATGGGAAACATGTTAAATATAAGAGTACATCTTAAAATGTATCTGTGATGTTTTATCTTCCCTTCACACTTACAATGTAGCCTACAAAGTATGATATATAATAAAGGATGTGTAGGGATCGTTATATGCATGGATTGCTATGTATATCTCAAGTAAAAGGAAAAAGCCTGATTTGTTCAAAATGCCATGTTGGAGCACAGCTTTATGGCATCATGGACTGCATAAAAAACAAATCAGTGGGTTCAAAATCAAATCAAGAGTGATTTCTAGAAGCAAAAATAACTAAACTAAGGTTGTCGTGATAGACAGAAAGAAAATAATACTGGGAAAGGTTGAAGGGATGGAAAAGAAGAAGACTGAATGAATACAAGACAGATAATAAAGGACGCCTCAACCTTGACTTTGCAAGACCTGAGCAGGGCTGTTAATAATAAGTTCTTTTGAAGGCCATGGATTTATAGGCTTACATACATTGGAAGCAACTTGACAGCACAAATTATATATGTAATGAAACTACAGTGGAGTCTCGACTTACATTCGGCTCCACTTGCGAACTTTTCGACTTACAGACTTTTCCGGCCGCAAAGTGTCACTTCGACTTGCGGCTGGAGAAACAATCTACGGACCAGAAGGGTGAGGTGGGGAAAGCGGCAAATTCAAATTTGGCACTTTCCCTGCCTCCCACTTCCAGTCCGTAGGCTGCAAGTCTAAGCCCCGAAAGCCCAAAGCTGACAGCGGGCGCCGGGCGGCAAGCCAGAGTCAGGAAAATCGAACAACGAGCAACTATAGCACTGAATCATAAGACAATATGATACAGAAGCTAATGAATTAAGCAAAGCACCTGAATGGGAAACATGTTAAATATAAGAGTACATCAAAAATGTATCTGTGTTGTTTTATCTTCTCTTCACACTTACAATATAGCCTACAAAGTATGATGTATAATAAAGGATGTGCAGGGATTGTTATATGCATGGATTGTTATGTATACTGTATCTCAAGTAAAAGGGAAAAAAACTGATTTGTTCAAAATGCCATGTTGGAGCACAGCTTTATGGCATCATGGACTGCATAAAAAACAAATAAATGGGTTCAAAATCAAATCAAGAGTGATTTCTAGAAGCAAAATATAACTAAACTAAGGTTGTCGTGATACACAGAAAGAAAACAATACTGTGAAAGGTTGAAGGCATGGAAAAGAAGACTGAATGAATACAAGACAGATAATAAAGGAAGCCTCAACCTTGAGTTTGCAAGACCTGAGCAGGGCTGACAAAAATAGGTTCTTTTGAAGGTCATGGATGTATAGGCTTACATACATTGGAAGCAACTTGACAGCACAAATTATATATGTAATGAAACTATACAAATTTTACTCATTTTGGCCTAGATTCAGTTGTCCCAGCTTGAATTGACCCAATGAATTGATAGGACTTCCACAATAAGAATTGGCTTACCATCCCATAATTGATTCCACCCTAGACAGTGCTAGCAATTAGATCTAGGCCTTCGTCATTAAGTGTACTGAACTCATTTGCTTTCTCCACTCTCACCTGCGGATTTCTTGCTGCCATACTGATTCAATGCCAAAGGTGGATGGAGTTCCAAGGAGCTGGCTGCACTATCTTCCTGACATGGCTGAAGCTTTTTCCCCATCACAGCAGCTGATTGCTCTGCAGTGGTCCTGTTGAATGGATTGCGCTGAACCTCTGCACACTCAGTATGGCTCAGAGATCCTGCCAGTGAAAAGTCAGCTGAATTATACTTTACTTGATATGGTACTTCCTGCAAAATATAATTTTAGGATAAGCCAATTGGAGAAAACTGCATGTCCAAATGTTCCACGTTTTGCCTTGTTTTACACTTTACTGTTGTTACATCAGAGTGCATTTAAAAATGCAATTCCCCCATCGCAGCCTAAAGCAATGCAGCCAATGCAAGGACTCTACCATTCGTAATTTAAGCATACATAAATCTATTTTAGGAAAATAAACACAAATGCATTTTGTTACATGCCAGGCGGGAGGCAGGGGAAGAGGTACCATCTCTGAGAGGGCAAATTGATGGCCAGTAAGAGGTTTCAGCATAATTCTACTAATGTCTAGATTCCACAAAGAGTCTTCCACGAAGAGTCGGACACGACTAAACGACTGAACAAACAAACAAACTAGATTCCACTTCCCATAAATTGTATAACAAATCTCAGTGGTTGCAAGAATGTGTGCCATTCTTGCAACCACTGAGATTGCAAGAAGTAGCCAGAAGCTACCTTGCCAGATCCCAACAACAAAGCACTATCTTTTTTCACAAAGTTGCCTTTTTTACAGCTGATTAGTGCTTGACGAGAACAACTAGGGGTAGGGGAAACTATAGAGCTCTGCCCCTCCCATAGACTTATGAAACATTACCTCCAACCTGTGGATGCATCTGCTTACCTTCCTTTAAGCTTTCTTCTATCTCCAGGTTAAGAGACCTCATTGCAGATTCCAGCTCTTCCACTTGCTTTATTAATCGCTCACCTTTATCTGGGAGAGCCTGTACATGCACCAGTTTCAAAGTTTTCTAGACACAGAGTGTGGGGAGGGAAAGATAGGGTTATTGATCATCTACATCAGTAGTGTACTCCCAATGGGGCGTAGTGGATAAAGTAATGGATTAGGAATCAGGAGACCTGAGCTGGGCCATGGAAACTCACTGGGGGTGGGGAAGGAACTGGTAGCATTCAGTTTTAGAACCTTCAGAATATTTTACAGTTTTCTTATTACTACTAGGAAAATTTCCCCCTATACTCAGCAGCTCCTTTCATTTACCACTAAGGTCAAAAGGAAGGAAACGAAGCATTATTTACAGCAGGAGTAGTAAAAATGTGCTCCTGCAGCCATATGCAGTTTTATTTAATTTTATTAAATAGGAACTTTCTGCTCTGGGAAACAGGTGTCTTTTGTTTTGTTGTCAAAGGGATCACAGAGTCCCCCAAACTGTCTCAAAGCCCTTAACTCACTAAAAATAAAACTTGAAACAGACTCCCTTTCATTTTTTCACCTGGGGGTGAGTTCTGATGTGGCCTCTGGGAGCGGAAAACTTTCCCCCAGATCCTCCAAAGTTTCCTCTCCCTGGCTTAGTGGATTACCTCTTCAGGCTCGAGAGTTTGCTGTTTTGATACAGAAAATCCCATTGAAAATAAATGGTCAGATAAAGGAAAAGTAAGAAGCAAATCTGCAGTATGAACAGAAAACAGACCTTTTTCTGCCTCAGCTCAGCAGAAAGTTGGTTGTGAAGAACTTTGAGATCCACCTCCCCTCTCATATGCAACACATTCATTTCTGGCAATATGGAAGATAGATTCTTCCCACTGCAGCCCTTTTCTTGATGGAATTCTAGTCCTTGGCGAGAAAGTGTTTTGAAGGGCACAGGTATGTCCTGCTCATCCTTGCTAATATTTTTATTGCTGCAGTTGTTCTCTTTCGGGGCTAGTCTCTCCTGCACCAGTGTTGGTGATTTCTCTTGATTTCCTTTAGGATGTGCTTCCAGCAAGCCTGTGGGTTTCTGAACCGTCACAGGGTCTCCAGGAGTCCGTGCCTTCCCTTCATTTCCCCACCTGCCAGTTGTCTTCAACATTTCACTCTTATCCCTCCGGCTTTCTGAACTGCCTTTTCTCAGCTGCTCGTTATCGATGTGCTTTACGCTTGATGCTTGACTATGGGAGCTTGGCAATGTTTGCTTTGATCTTTCTTCTGTCTGCAATCCACTTTCTTTAGATCTCAGAGTCAAATCTTGTCCGGTGTATCCAAGGGATGTCTCACACATTTTGTCTGCATTGAATTTGCATTCATCGAAGCATAGCGCTTTTTCCTTTTCAGTTGATTTGGTTTGGGTTTCTTTTCCTTCCCTGTGTAAACTTTCACATTTCTTTCCTAACTGTTTGTTCTTGGTATTCACTGTGGCTGGAAGATCTTTTCTAATAGCCTCAGATGATAATTTCCAATCCTTTTCATTAGAATCAGGAGTTTCTTTTTTCTTCTTTTCTTTATTTATAGGGTTGTTATTCCCATTGTCATTTGTTTGCTTGAATGCTGATGATTCATTATTCTTGTTTGGTATTTTGAATGGATTTCTCCGACCTCTATGATCATGGGCCTCTTCAAGCATGTGCTGAAATTGTGGCTTAACTGGCAGTGTAGTGGCTTTTGAATCCTACAAAACATGAAGGTGAAATATTAAGTCTATCTATGAATGCATCGACTATCATGAATTCTACAGATGTTGATCTTTTGTTCTATATGACTATGAAAATAATTGCTGAGTATACATCTTTAATCAGAGAAGAAACCATACACATTGAAAGCTAGACGGCCATGTAGAATTTCCCATCTTGCACAACAGATGACACTGCCGGTAATGTTCAAAATACCAGCTCAATCTATCTCTTCCATGCATCTTTCACTCTTCCTGGAGCCTCGCCAATAATCTCCAAACTGTTTGATCTAGAATTATGCAAACTTGTACTTTTTTTTATTACTAGGTCACATAATTTGATGGCATTACCAGACATATTCATAGAATCCGAGCTCAATCCCTTTCCTTCCCACTCTATTGCTTTTCCCTCAGCCCGAAGTCTTGACAAACAAAACTCCAAACTGTATAATCCAGAATTGTGCAAATTTCTGATGAGTATTTTTAATCTCTAGCCCAATCTAATTTTCTGGTAGTAGGATCAGAATTATCTTTTAGAAGTCCCTCTAAAGGACAAAGAAGCCCTAAAATCCTTATTAGTCTTGATGATTCATACAGCTGGGAGTAAAAGTAGGTTTTGAGTTGTTCTCTGAGCACTGAGATACTACTCAGAAAGGTTATTACACTGTGTTGGATTATAAGTCTAATGTGGAGCCCAGTGCATTACTTACAGGAAGTAATGAGATCTCTGCTGCTGTCATTGTACAATACTCACATCTATTATCTCTTGCTGTCATTGTGCGATACCCACAAATGGTTAACATCGCCACCCTAAAATTTCAATATCCCAAATCTTGTGATTTACACTGGTCTAATATAAACAGCATGCATTTTGGAGACAAATCACTTCAAACTAAGAAGTCATCATAGACATTGTCTGTTGCACACAGAGTCACAGAACTTGGTGCACAACAGATAATGTCTACACTGATTTCTTAATTTGAAGAAATTTGCTTCTAAGAGTAATACTATTTGTGTTACACATGCAAATACAACTAATAGGGTTTCAGCCACTCTCTCAAAACTGTTGGCAAAATATAAAGCTTTAATGCACTACATTATCGGTACCTGCCACGGGACACTTCCACACCATTTTTTCCCTTCCAGTTTAGCTTTACTGCATCGATACAACAAACTAGAGAACAAAATAAAACATGACATGTCAAGTTGGCTGTTAGTATTTTGACGCCTCTTCCCAACCATAAGAATGTGAATACATCAAGTGTTCTTCAGACAAAATACCTGTATGTATCTGTCTCCTGTAGCTTCATCAAAACTTGCAAATCCACTACATCCTTTTCATGTACCAAGCAGTGAGAAGGGGAGAGCCTACAAAAAGGAAACACAATTATTCTTGAAGAACAGATTTCTGCCAGGAATGTGTATCAGTTAGGGAAAGATTTCTGTCCAGAATTAAATGCCCATCTTGTACTATCCTCTCAATGGTTTGGGAACACAACACACACAAGGTTACCTCAAGGAACATAAGAATGTTGGGAACATATCGCATACAAGGTTACCTCAAGGAACATAAGAATGTAGAAAGATGACTGATATCAAGGCTAACCAGTGGTCCACGTAGCCCAATACTGTTGACATTGACTGGCTGAGACGTCCCCTAGGTGTCCCTGGAGATGCCACTGGTTGAACCCAACACCTTCTACATGCAGAGCACTGCTCTGCCACAGAGATGCAGTCCTTTCCTCCTCTGGCTATATATTACAAGATGGATGCAAAAAATATGTGAACATGTGCACTTGTATTAATATTGAGCTCAATCAACATAGCAGGCATTTTTTAAAGTATCTCCATCCTTTCAGATGTATGTGTTTATTTATTCTCTGTTTTCTTAGGCCAAATCGTCTCCGGTTAACAGCTAAAAAAAAACATATCTCAGCTATGAACAGAAAATATACCATTTTATATTACTGAACAGAGTTTTCTTCTACAAGCTGTCAGTAGCAGAACTTTTACATTTATAGGAGTGCACTCGGCAAGCAGTTGGTAACTTCTGGACCATGGACTTTAAGACAAATTTCCAACCTACTCTGTGGCAAGCACAAATCCGCATGACTCCTGATCTTGGACTCCACATATATAAAAACTTTTGCCTTTATTTGGGCCATGCCGAACGCCAGTTTTCAAAACGCAGAGATGCTCTGATCAGAAAGAAAGTGAAAAACAAAAATGAAGATCAGTACACACGATACAAGGCTTCAAGGAGACACATATCTCATGCTTATATATTTCAATCTAATTCTTCCTTCAAGGGTCAGATTTTCAAAAAATTACATGTCTTGTACTAATTATATTCTTTGATTCTAACTCTTCCCCCAAGTTCAGTGTGGCTTACTTTAAGTCTCCACTCTGACCCCATTTATCCTCAAAAACAATTTTGTGAGACAGAGAGAGAATAACTGATTAAAAGCTGTCTTTCACAGGGTCACAACATTACATTATCATGCCATGTGGAAACATATGCACCTATGCTCCTTTTCTGCATGAACTTTCAAATTATTTGAATGAAAACAACCATGTAACTTCCTTGATAATACATCTTGATTCAGTCCCACAAAGGAGTTTTAAATCATTCTTTAAATCCCAGTGTTTCCAAATCACTGATAATCCTGTCATTAATATCATACTCTGTTTTATGAGGTTTGGCTACTTCTCTGGGCTACTAAAGAAAGACTGGATTATACATATGTATTCAAATGTAAGACCCAGCAAGGTCAATAATATTTAATCCCAGGTAAATAAACATGAGGTAGAATGAGGAGGTCATCTCAAAAAACTCATTTCAAGTCTCTTGAAGGGCAGCAATTTTTTGTTAAAGTTGTTGCTGCTACACTTTACTACTAGAGAAGATGTCTGTGGCCTGAGGTGCCATAAATATCCTGAATGGGCTCATGTATTCTATTTCTGTGATACATATACAGAAGAAAGCCTTCACCTCAGGCATCAAAGTGTCTTTAGCTAAGCCAATTTACATTTCTAGATATCTAAGCCTGAAAATGGAATATACTTAAAAGCAGAGCAAATCCTGGCTCCCTCCTAAAGCAATTCTGCTGCTGCCACTACATTGCCTTCTTTAGGTCTGAACTCTCGGAAAGCAGCAACAAGCACTTGAACGCCAATCAGGGCGACCATCTATCTTCTCCAAGTTTGGCTGAAAGATATAGAACCATATGAAGATTGAATATGTGCAGAGGAGGGTGACCAGGATAGAAAAGGGTCTGGAAAATTAGCCCTATGAACAATGACTGAGAGAGTTGGGTATGTTTTCTACTATTCTATGATTCTACTTACTCTATTTCTTTTCAGATTAATTACTTCATTCAGGTTTTGACCACATGGTCAAATACCGTGAGATTTGCTGCAGGTGTACAATGGATTAATTCAATTTTTAAAACTGATTACACAACACCAAGGCCAATTTGAATCAGTCTAGACATTTTTGCCCCCAACACAGAAAGGTTTTTCCTTTGCCTCATGGGGCTTCTTTTTTTCAAGCTGGAATTACTTGAACAGATTCCCATCTGATCAGTTGCTTCGTTCTCCAAAAGAATTGAGATGTATGCCCGCGGATGATATTCTGGTGATTTACAAAACTGGGCATGATGTTTTGAACAGTGAGAACATCCCCACAATCTTTCTCCCACATTGATCCAAAGTAGTTTTAAACATTTGTTTTAAACAAATGGAGTTTAGCACCAGATCACCTCTGCACACACAAACACACAGGTGAAAACACAAAGAGATAAAAAATAATACATGGCACAGAAATAACTCCAAGGTACAGCAGACTAGTATTTTTCCACAGTATGTGTGTGTACGTATTTGTCCATTATGAAAGACTTTGGAAACTGTCCCTTTTCCCTAGCGCCACACAGCCCACCAGCTTTACTGTGAAGTATAAAAGGAGAGCTGTGGATCTGCAGGGAGCTGACTCAAAGGATGGGGTGCTGTGCAGTGGGTCAAACTCCATGAGGCTGAAGGGCCAGTGTGGGGCACTGGGACCCGCACCAAAACAATCCACAGTTTCAGTGTAATCATTTACTTCAAATAGAAATGTTAACTAGTCTGCAAATCACTGTGATTTGCCTTGCCAGTTAAAGTTGTGCACTGGCATGTCTTTATATAAGTCACTGTAAACATTCTTATGCAAATCTGTGCATGTCCTTCTTTTGCATGTCCTTCTGCAAAAGAGGAACAAGAGGTGAGAAGAGAAATTTCAGAACTAACCCTGCCTCTTTAGGGAAGTCTCCCTCCTCAGCCACCAGATTCTGAGTCTCATGAAAGACGAGCAAACGGTTGGTTATCCCATTTGTTACGATTGTATTCTTTCCGCCAGAGAGGGCGAGAGGAGCCTGTGAGATTTCGTGCTCTCCCATGTAGCATAATGTGCATGGCTTTGGGTCTCGGGGGACATGGATTTCATATCGAACACTGAACAAGGCACTCTAGTCTCTCTTTCATGCTCAGTCCCGGCCATACGACTCTCCCCAGTCAACTCACCATGTCCGGAACACAACACCTTCTCCATGACCCGGTTGCTGGATCCTCCCTCCCGTTCTTCTCCATCCGCCACAACTCAAAGCCATGTGGAGGAGGAGCCAATCTCACAAGCACCCGCCCCCACCGGCGAGCATCAGATTCCCAGAACTGCCAATCCCGTTGTTTTCCTAGGCCGGCATAACCAATCAAAACGAGCAGTGGGCGGTCTTTTTTTAAATTTTTTTAATTTTTTTAAGAAAAAGAGAAAGCGGAAGTGTTTCCGTCCAATCAAGGAGTTAGGAGCAAAAGAAGGAAGCGCTATTGGTCAGAAAAGCAGCCAATGCGTTCATACTGTCCCTTTTCCCTAGCGCGCGGGCAGGGCATGTTTGTAGAAGTTATTTGGTAAGAGGAGCCAAGCCGAGGTCAGGCCGGGCAAGAGCGGGAGGCGAGCGGCAGGAATCGCGGGGGCAGCCTCTCCTGAGCCAGAGAAGCGAAGTCCCGTTTGTCGAGGGTCATTTTAAAGTTCTTCTAGCCAGGAGATGTGTTGGTCGATTGTACCTCTAGAGAAACCAGAGTTATTGTAGCCTCTTTAAGACTAACAAGTTTTTTTAAAACTAGAAATAAAAAATGTTTCGTTTTTTCCCATAAAAATTTAAAACTGTTTAGACTCTCAGAGATGCTTCCAGACTTCTGGTTTCTCTTAATATTCTTCTGTGACAGTCCCTGTGTGGACCAAGTTTCATTCAGCTCAGTGGAGCTCTCCCCTGAGCAGATGTGTAGAACATCACATTGTCCATCGTTTATGAGGCCAGCCTTTCCCAGACTTATTTTGTTATTTGAATTAAAAGTCACTTATTTTGTCTCTATATGTCAGGTCACTTGATTTTTTATTTTTTGTTCCATGCATTAAACTCATGTACAATGGATATTTTAATAACGCCTAGGCTTTCAAATATGTCTGTTTTGGTGTGCAGTGTTCAATGATATATGAATAGAAGAACTGCTGAATTAAGCCCAAGGCATATCCTAGCATTCCCATGGTGACCAGAGCACAGTATAGTCTAAGGCCTCAAATGTGAGTATCTCACCTCCCACTTGTGTTTTGCAGCAGTTGAAAGCAGAAACACACTGGCTCTTCAACTGGAAACAGAGCTTAGAATTAGTTGTAAGTAATGTGGTTACTTACTGAAGCTCAATGGTCTAAAGCTCAACATAAAAAAAACAAAGCTCGTGGTCACTGGTCCCATCACCTCCTGCCAAATCGAAGGGGAAGATATGGAGGCAGTGTCAGATTTTACTTTCTTGGGCTCCATGACCACTGCAGATGGTGACAGCAGCCATGAAATTAAAAGACGGCTGCTTCTTGGGAGGAAAGTGATGACAAACCTAGACAGCATGTTAAAAAGCAGAGACATCACCTTGCCAACAAAGGTCCGCATAGTCAAAGCTATGGTTTTCCCAGTAGCGATGCATGGAAGTGAGAGCTGGACCATAAAGAAGGCTGACTGCCGAAGAACTGATGCTTTTGAATTGTGCTGGAGGAGACTCTTGAGAGTCCCCTGGACTGCAAGGAGATCAAACCTATCCATTCTTAAGGAAATCAACTCTAAGTGCTCACTGGAAGGACAGATCCGAGGCTTCGATACTTTGGCTATCTCATGAGAAAAGAAATCTCTCTGGAAAAGCCCCTGATATTGAGAAAGAGTGAAGGCCAGAGGAGAAGGGGATGACAGAGGTTGAGATGGTTGGACAGTGTCACTGAAGCTACCAACATGAATTTGACCAAACTCCAGGAGGCAGTGGAAGACAGTCAGGTCCATGGGGACATGAGTTAATGACTAAACAACGACTAAACAAGTTGGACACGACTTAACGACTAAACAACAATGTGGTTATCTATAACTAGTTGCTCCCCACCTGTGGAACAATCTGCCCATGGAGATACACCTGGCACCCTCGTTGGAAGGGTTTAAATGAGCTTTGAAAACTTGACTCTTCTGTCAGGCTTTCCCTGAGCATTAAGTTGCTGATGTCTCTGCTTCTCCTCTATCATCCTTTTTGCCATCCTTTCATCCTCCTTTCTACCATCTTTATAGCCATCTGTTTTAATTTATATCATTAGTTATTGTATCTGTTGAATGTTTGTATTATTTTATTCTTACTGTGTTTTAATATTGTGTTGTTTGTCTTATTAGCCGCCCAGAGTAGCCTGGCTGCCAGATGGTGCAGGTTATAAATCTAATAAATAAATTAATAAATAAAATTAACACACACACCCTCTTTCCACCAGTGGGAGTGTTCTGGGTAGAACTGTTATTCAAGGAGAGCCGCTGCCAATGGAAATAAACTCTGGAACCAACCAATATGTAGAAAGTACCTTTTCTTACCTGGACTTGTCTTTTGAAGTGAAAAAGAAATCAGTGTTCATATGTATTTATTTTTCAAAGCATTAACATAGAAAACCATGTATCCTTTTTTAAAACTTGGGAAGGAGATACAAACTGAACATTCAACCAACTCTTATGAGAATGTTTTCATTAACTGCTGCAATATAACGCCCTACACTGACTGTAGCTATACTATCTTTCATTCCACCCACTGTAAAAGTGCGGCTAGCATCAAATATTTTTTAACTGAAATAAAGAGAAAACTTTCTCAACCACTTGAAAATATATGTTTTTTTTAAAACTTGGGACATCACTTTCCATTGCCGTAAACTTGGTCCAAGATCGTCTGGAAACTGAGTGCTGTGAGCATCTTGAAAGGCATGGCAAAAATTACTTTTTTACTAATTTCCAGAATTCCTCAGTCAGTACAGTCACTATCTATGGGATTCTGAGAGTTGTAGCCAAAGAAATATCTTTTTGCCCATATGTGCCTATCACAGATGCGATATTAAGATGCTGCAAGAGGATGTTTACCTGTGGGCCAGATTTCAATATTCCTTTCAAAAGTTATTTTGCCTTATATTTGCTCCATTTTCAATTGTCAGCCACCTGGGGCTGATCTGGACCTGATTTCTCTATATCTGGAAGGTCTGGTTAATCTCAGTTTACAATGAAGAAAAGGTGAAGGAAGTATAAAATGTAGCAAGTGCGTGTAGAAAGGAGGATCAGTGGAGTGCTTATCATGTTTCTCAAAAGTTACTGAGGCCTATCAGTATTGCAGGAAAACATTTCAAGCTTGTACTTAGTACAGTTGAAATATTGTAAATATAAGCTAAGAAAATGTCTGGGGAAAAGACTAAGAATTTGACTCCTGCTATTGCAGTCCAGGTTGGCTATTCTGGATCGGCCCTTTCTTAACCAAAGGGCGTGCAAAATGCAGCCTGCAGCCTAATTTCTGCAAGTGATTAGTTCAGACCTCTGACAATCCTCTGTTCCTATTAGCTTGCTGGGTAGGAATGAAGAGGAAAGCAGAAAAGGCTGGCAAAAATAAGTAATCAGTCCAGCTTAGGCTGTAAGCCAGTCTACTACTGATGCGTGGTCCCCAAGGACTACCTAAAGGGAATGTGGCCCTCAGTAGAAAAACAGTTTGGGGGGCCCAGGTTTAACCAAAGACTGCTGGGTGTATTTTGCCATGCTGTATTTTGAGAGGAAGTCTCATCGTTGACTGATGTTTGTCAAAGTCTGATTATAATGTAGGCAAAGCATGACATAGGAAAATGCCCACTTGTTTTAGAGGAATCAAGGCCGAAAAGCAATACAGCTTCTGAAAAATCTGGGAGTGATAATATGAAATTAGGTGCTATACGCCGATAAACCAAGAATGACTGAATAGATAGCACTGATTTATAAACTGGTACATGTGCACATCTGGCTGTTTCCCCAGCAGATTTCTTAACTTTTTCTAGTTTTGCTGAAAAAAGTCTTTTTTTGTGGCATTTAAAACAAAATAATAAGGATGGGGGTTTGGCTGGAGCACAATGCTATGGAAGGGCCTAAAACATGCCAAAGGAAGAGGGCAGAAAGGGACTTTTTTAGAATCACATTTGGAAAAGAAAAGGTTTACACACGTTTAGGAGAGTCCACAGAACACACTTCAGTCATATCTTGTTTACAGTAAAAATAATCTTTGCTGTAGGGACAAGCTTATCAACTTTTTACTTCAGCTTTTTAGTGCTAAAACCTTTTCCAGCAATACTATTTTATAGATGGAAAAATATTAAAATATCCCTAAAATGACCTTTAATCTCTTCTAAAGAAAATAATGGAGATGGAAAGTACTCGCTGCCATTTTTGGCAAGGTACTGTAATTAGCGGCAGTGACAGAATTTTGTAAATTTTCAAATTTTCAGTGGTATGCTCCAGTCACTATCATTTTTTCAACATATTTTGGTCAGTTTTTTTAACTATTGTTTTGGGAGTGCCTATTGCAAAGGTTACAATGTACTGAACTGACATGTTGACAAAAATAAAGAGGAAAAAATTAATCAAAATGATAACCGATTTGCTGAAATCCCATAGTCACAATTGAATCACTGGAACTTATGAAGGAACTGATTTACCAAAACAATGGGCCTAATTTAGTTGTGACTTACTATAAGACTTCAGCCATTGTGGCACTTTAAAGACTACAAAATATGTTACAGTCTGAACTTTTCTTGATCAGAATCCACTTTTTCAGATTTCTTGTGTTTGAACAAATAGATTTTGATCCAGAAATAAATTTAAAATGCAACAATATTTTGCACTTTTTTCCTTCCTTTAATCTGCCAGAATCCTGAGCTGAAATGCTGAATCCTCTGTATGTCTCTGCATATGTCCAAACTGCACTCGCTTAGATATATATGAAAGAATAGCACTTTAAAAAAATATGCAGTATATTCTGATGGAGATGGCACCACACTGTTTTCCCAGAAACAACTATACTTTCTGCATCTTTGGAAAAGAAAGAACCACAGGGTAAAGTACAGAATGACAATCGCTGGATGCCTTTGCTAGTTGTAAAAAGGGACACCCCCACCCCTCCAAAAAAGAGTGAACTATGAGTAAGAGCCTAGCAGGGGAGCTACCCAAATCCTCAACCTTTCCTCAACACAAGACTGGATAGGCCTCGTATTTGATCTATTAAGACAACAATTGTTCGTTATATTATTTTACAGCAAACAGACTGTATTTGTGATATTTTCCAGGCAGATAGAGGGGAAGATATTGCTAGCTGTGTTGGTAGACTGAAGAGGGGGGGGGAAGGCTGGAAAAGGAAGCTGCAAGCCGTGCAATGCCACTGAAAACAAGACAACCTGCAAGTTATCATTCATGTTCTGAGTGGGTTGTTTCTTGTTCTTGAGTTCCCTTTTGTTTTAAATCTGCTTCCTAGGCAAGCCACCACCTGATCACCCAAATTTTATCCTACAGGAATTGGGGGGGGGAGAGAAGAAAAATTGCACACACACACTCTAATACTGTTAAGACAAGTCTTCAAGTCTTTTTCTTGATTTAAAAAAAAAACTGGAGGCTTTTTGTTTTCTTTCACAAGAAAGAAGAGCCCTGCATCGTCTTTAGTGGTTTTGTTTGTTCCCCTGTGGAAGTGATTCTAAGAATTCCCTTCCTCGATGCTCTGTAGCTGCAGTCTTTGGCCGGCATGGCTCCTGCCGCCCCGCCGTGTGCAGGGATTGCTTCCTGCCACAGTTCGCACTGGAAACAAAGAGCCAGGTAAAGCGTCTCCTCCAAACAAAGTGATCTTCACATCGGCTTCGATAGCTTTGGCCAAGCTGGAGGCGTAGCTGTCCAAAGACTTATGAACGTCAGCTTTCACATGAAGCACAGAATTCTTTGCTGCTTCTGAACAGGAAAAATATAGATAGAGCTTAGTACGACAATATGGTACGGAAGCCTTGTGCAAAGGATGGATTGGGCTGTTGTCAGGGTGAGTTCAGGACATTTTGCTGACTGAGGCAGAGCAGCAAATGGGGTCTCTCGTTCACCCAAATCAAGGTGCCTAGCATCTAAACTCAACCAAATTATTTCTGTCACACAAAACAGAAAAATCCCTCCTGGACTTCTCCCCAGCTTTACTAGTAAACAGACAATACCCACAAATTAAATAAACTTAACATTTGTTGCCCCTTTTGCTAGTGTTAATACTGACTGAGGCAGCTATCTCACTCTGTCTAATGACAGAGTTGGCCCTGGATGGTGTAAACAGATGCATAGTGCTTCAGTGAGTACCTATTTATTAGGACTTCGAGTTTCGGGATCCCTAGTGGCTTACGTATCTGGCTGCAGTTAAAGGTTGGGAGTTCAAATCCCCACTGTGCTTTCTTGACAGAGGCTAGACTTGATGATCTATAGGGTCCCTTCCAGTTGTGCAGTTCTAAGGTGGGGGTGGTTGTCATATAGAATGACATAATGCATTAGAAACTCAAGACAGGTATACATCTGAAGATTTGACTTGATTGAAATGTCACCTCTCTGTACACTTAAAGTGGAATATGTTGCACCTACATGTCAAGGACATACAGCAAAATGAATCTTAGAGAGACAGAAACAAAACTGAACCCAAAATATTCCTATCTGTAAAGCTAGGTGACTTCAACCCTGAAAAACTCTGTCTGCTCATGAAGAGGACAGACACAGTGAATGAAATGTACTCTGCCATTCATGATACACCCTAAAATCTCCTTCGAACAGATGAGGGTAGTTCCATTCTATGAGCTAATGTTGTCAGCCCATATTAGGTATTTTCTGTGACTTCTTGCTCCCTGCCCACCCACCCACCATTTCAGGCATCAAATAGCTTGCCTAGCCTAGTCTCAGAAGTAGTTCAGATAATATTACTTTTCCAACATCTGTCGTTTGCTTTTGGTCAGGTTCCCTTCATTTTCTGCATCTGCCCTTCTAATTCTGTGTGCTTGCAGTTTATACAACCGCAGCAGAGATGGGAAAAGTCACTATTTGGACTAGAATCCTAAAGTGCTGTGGCCAGCATGACCACGCAGCTGAATGAATTCCAGGGGTTGTAATCCCCCAAAGTAACATTTCTGAGCTTTCTGTGTGTATGCTTTTAGCCCTCAATGTTTTATTCATAAATGGGACTAATCCTCTTTTAAAGCTATCTAAGTAGCCATCACTACATCACTATGGACAGCAAATTCAATGGTTATAAACATTATCATCAGTGGTTATTTCTTAGGTTCGTCCCTGACTGGAGTATCTTGTGCATCCTGAGCCATTCTGCATCCTATTGGCCATTTTGTCTTGTCTGTGTAAACCTAGAAGTCCCCCCCTCCATGTTTTTTTACACACACCCAGCCCTGCTCCAGCTCCTCTCAAACGTAATCCTTCTTACTCACCTTCCTTGTACCTTTCTCCTTGTTTAAGAACCTTTTAAAAAACCATTTCTTTCATCCTTCCCTTGTCCTAGCAATTAATCTTGATCCTGGTTTTCTAAAACACACCTTGATAGCACTAGGTTAGGCAAGGTTGTTTAAAGAGCTGGAATGCTACATTATGATGAGGAAGATGTTCATCCTCAACCTTTATTCTGGGCAGGAAGAATTTGTTCTACTGGTAATACAAAGTGAACATACCCCTGTAATATAATTCATAGTGTAAACTGTTTAAAAAGCAAATATCTTAAATAAATCTTTGTGCTTCCTCCACCTGTCTGGTCTTTCCCTTAATGCTACTCTTATCTGTAATCTTTTTCAGTAGAGATGTGTCTGATTTTAATTCTTGCCTAGTGCTTGATGACATTTAAAATGGTGTACAGTTTTGAAAGCAGCATAAATGTGAAATATAGTTGTGGATGGAATTCTTGGTGTAGGCAAATAAGCCTTAAAATATCCAGCCTCTGCACACCTTTAATTTGTTCCACTTCATCTTCAAATGTCACAGAACTCCGGCGTCGATGGGGATACACACAATGTGGGTGGTGAACTCCATCAGAACTGTAGTCTTCTAGCAACATAACATCTGTTCCTAAAACAGAACACAGAACATAGAGAAACTTTCCTATTTTGGAGGCACAGAGATCTCCCATCCTCTAGGTTTAAGAAAACCATCACCTAGCTGGATGTGTTGAACTACATCTCCCATCATCCTTGGCCAGTAGTGGTCATGCTGGTTGGAGAAGATGGGAGGTATTGGCCCAGCACATATGGAAGGTATCATGGTCTAGGAGGCAGGATTAAGTTCTTTTGCTTTCCAAGAAATGGCACAACCCCTTGTGAAATCATGACGCTCTCCATCTTATGTTCCACACTGGGCATGGAGACTGGAAGAACTGTGAGGATTAATGATTAGAGAGGGTACGTCCCAGGGAGCATGAGAGGGTCTCAGAAAAGTCAAACAACACCCATCTCCCTCCCACCATCCTATCTTGCAGATAACACCCCTTTTGGCAACATTCAGTTATGATTTTTTAAAAAAATCATTTCCCCTCATTTTTAGAGCTGCTAAGGCCCCTCCCAGTGTATCCTGCAAGTAGAAAGCTGGTACTCACAACCTCCAAAGTTGTTAGTGCCCCCCATGCTAAGGATTTCCTACACTGAATGTGAGGACATCGTATGGAAGGAAATTTTGTGACTTGTAATACTGGGCTGTGGCTATCTGGCATGGCCCTATCCCAATTCAAAATAAGTTACTTGAAATGACACCTGAACAGGGAGGGCTTCAGTTCCTTTTTATTCTGTGCAGGTAAATTGTAATTTATTTGGTGCAGCCTCAGCCCTGCTGACAACCATGTCCTTCTAAATCTTGTCTCAACAAGGCTTTTTATTTCTTGCTATCTGGGCATTTTGCTTCTGTCAGTATAAATTAGATTGCATTAGCTTTGAAGTGACTGTGTCACATATCAGATTCATGGCCTGTGTGAGTGAACGAATAAGGAAGGGTTACCTGAATCCTGAGAACAGCTGAAGCCTGTATCTCCTGTGCTGCTGCTGTGTCCTAAAGTCCTCTCACCTGCCATGAGAGCCGTGAGGTGGGGAGATAGTCCCAGATCTGCAAAAGAGTTTCAGCATTAGCAAACTACAGTCTGGAGGAGAGATTGGAGATGGAACAAAACCATCTTCAAATACTCTTTAAAGGTATCTTTTATCCAACTCTTGATTTAACCAGCAGCCAAGCCTGTGACATTTATACTCTGAATTAAAATGCCACTAAAAGTTTGCCTAATTCAGAGTGAACTTCATAGGAAGGATTTGATCTCCCAAGGAGAAACTGAAGGCAACGATGGCCTGTCTATTTCTTTTGCTTGCTTGCTTGCTTGGTTAATTAATTTTACATGCTGCCTTTTTCTTCGTAGGAAAAATGTGGATAGTTCAGTTGTTTAGGTTTCTGGCTGAAGAGCCAGAGGTTGGCAGTTTGATTCCCCACTGTGCCTCCGGTGAGTAGAGCCAGCCTTTGTAGCCTTGGGCAAGCTGTAGTCCCATGATACCCCCAGCAGAAGGAAATGGTAAAACATTTCTGGGTACTCTGTACCTGAAAACCCTGAAAAGAGTTACCTATTAAATCAGAATTGAGTTAACGGCACATGATTATCAGTAATATAATGTATTTCCCTGTAAGAATGAGGAACTGGGTTTAAATGACTTGGCCATATATCATAATTGTAAGCTTGAATAAATGATAAAGTTTTTTTAAATTACCTGTGATTCTATTAGAAATACTAAATAATCTGGATGTCCTCTGTCGTTGTACAAATGATTCTCTGTAGTACCGGTCTCCAAAGCACATTCCCAATAATTCCTTGCGTACAGTTTTATTCCAAAGTCCATAAATCAAAGGGTGGCAGATCGCACTCGTAAAAGATAACCAAGTTGCCAAGGTCTCCCACGTAGGGGAAATACTGTTTTTCCCCCAAAGTGCCTCAGAGGTTATTACCACCATGTAAGGCCCCCATGTAATGACAAAAGCACCAATCACAACCAAGATGGTTATCAAAGCTTTGCACTGATTGGCAGAATAAACCACCCCTTGGAAAGCGTTCCTTCGGCTGCCGGAGGAGGAAGTCGAAGTGCTAGAGTTCTTTCTCCCGTTCCTTTGAGCATCTTCTTCTGCAATCACCACACTCCCACAGTGGATCTTCCGTGCTTTAATCCTGGCCACGCGGAAGATGAATCCGTAGCAAATCATCATGACCATGAAAGGGAGCAGTGCACACCAGATCTGCCAAAAGGCAGTGTAGCCTGCCTGTTTATGCCATGCAGCCACACACATCCATTTGAATTGATCAAACTCTAAAGAAGACCAACCAAAGAGGGGAGGAAGGCATCCAATCAGAGAATGTAGCCAAACATATAAAATGGCCAAAACTGCCCTGTTTCCTGTAATCTTCATTGGGTAAACCATTGGGTACAGGACAGCATAGTACCTGAAAAACATAAAAGGGGGATTCAGTAATATCAAGGAACATGCAGTAAGTGGAATGAGTAATTGGAGACAGGAAATAAGAAGAGGAGTGCCACTCATACTGGCATACAAAGTATTTTAAATATTGCACATCTTGGGGCTCAAGGATCCAATGCTGATAGGACTGAGGTATGGCTCTTAAAGTACTTCGTGATATTGACAAATTGAAAGAGCAAGACTTGCTTTGGATTGGTTCTAGTAATCACATGTGCTGGAACCGATTCAAACCACAGCAATTCTATTTGCACCAGAAAAGTAGACTCTCCTTGGCAGGAGCAGAAAGGTACAGGTAGCAATGCATGGGAGGGGGGTGCAGCCTGGCAGAGACACTGATCACCATCTTTAAGAGCCCACCAGCCCATCTCTGACGCACTCCAAACAGCCTGTGTAGTCACCCTCTGAAAGGGTGTTTGAAACCTTACATAAATCACTTGCAGTGATGGAATCATCTACGTATGCCAGGACAAATGTTGATTTCTTTGTATCAAGGGGTGACTTGTGGACCAGGATGGAGAGGTGTCCCACCCCACCCCAAATTTTGGTGGTGTACCCCCTGTCTCTGTCACTCACTACTCTCAGATGTACCCAGTGGGGACTGTCCATCTGTAGACAAAGCATGGCTGGTATAATGAAGTTTCCCTTTGGCTGCAAACCCCCCAGTCCTATTCAGAGGCCTGCCAGAACACATTGGCACAGAATGGGACGGGGGGGGGGACAAAGTGCAGCCTTAGAGTCACACACAGCCCCAAGACTGTTTTTAAAGCCCTCTGTCCTTCCCTGGCTCTCTTTTTTCTTGTCCAAGAGAGACAAACTGCAGCTCCTGGAATTCACCAGAGATAGCAATTCACCTTTTAGGTAAGTCGCTGGGACCCTCAGCACCATTTAGCAGTGGAAAAGAAAGGAAGGAGAAATCATCTTTCTGTGATGTCAGACGTAAACCACTGATGTTACATGAAATGTGTGCATTAAGCAGAGTGTAATAAATTGCAACTCGAATCAACGATGCACTAACCCTGAAGATGCAAGCCATGACAATTTGTAGGGAGGAAGAGACATGTTGGGGAAAAATAATGTCACAACCTGGGTTTAGTTTTCCAACACAGTCATGCACTACATTATTACTCATCAATAGAAGAAGAAAAGCAAGCCATTTAGTGCTAACAAAGATGTTTCCTTGTTCCCGCTGTACTATCTGGCATCTGCCCTTACCCTCCACCCTGGAGGCCTTTGCTTGACCACCTCCAATCTCTACTACTGTATTTTCTGTTTTTGGAAAGTGCAAACAAGAGTTATTAATGAATTCTTGATAGCTACTGTTAAAAAAAGATATTTTGCTTTTAATAGATGGAGTTCTGTGTTAATAGAACTAGAATGTTCCTAAAGAAAGATGCTCAGAAGGCACTGTTTATGTCCCAGATAGGAAATATGCCAAGGCTGAGGGCCAAACTCAGAGTCCACCGTGTCAGCACTACTGCCAAATTTGCTGCTGTAGTTGTAGCAGCTACTACAGCAACTTTGGCAGCTTTTTGTGGCGGAAAGAGAGGAGGAAGATGAGAAGGAAACAAGGATGACAGGGAGGATGAAGAGAAGGGCATGAAGGGGAAAGCAAGAAGTAGAGAAAAGAATGAGGTTTGGCCAGAGAGGGAGGAGGGTTGATTTGGAACATGGTTTCAACAGTGTCTTCATGGTAATGATGCGACCATAATGTCATACTGTGGTACGTTTTTAGCATTTTGGGCAACCCAGAAAGGGCAGTAGTAACAACAACAACAACAGCAACAGGTTCACAGGAGCACACAGGCTGCTTGTTGCCTACTGTAGTGAACAATAAGCTCTGCTGAACTGCATGTTATAAGTTTGTTATCTTATTCTTAGAACCAATACTTAAAGCCCTGCTAGATGAGACCAATGGTCCATCTCATCCAGCTTCTTTTTTCCTATACTAGATTTTGGGAAATTCCACACTGGAAATTTCTGTTTGATACTGTTTTGCCACTGATGTATTCACAATTATGCTCTAAAAATTCTCAGCTTATGGGCAAGTTTGTAACATGCTATTCAAAATGTAGTATCCTTCTGTTTCCTAGCACATTTAATTTTTATCTTTCTGTTTCAAAGCACATTTAATTGGCTTTTAATTTTTTTGGAGGGATGCTAACTCCCACGTAGTTCATAAAGAAAAGACATCATACCGGTCGATAGCAATGAGTCCGAGGGTAAGCATACTGGCAGAGCTGATTAGCATATACAGCAGGGCAGAAAAATTGCACCAGACCACGCCGAAGATCCATTCCCGACGGATGGAGCTGGTCACAACGAAAGGAAGCACAAGCACAGAAAGCAGGAGGTTGGAGAGGGTAAGGCTGAAGACAAACTTGTTGCTGAGTGTGAGGAGGTAGGACTTCTTGTAGAGCGTGAGGACAATCACCAGGTTCCCCAAACAGATAAGAATGGCAATGACAATAATAGCAATGGACTCCGTCACTCTGCCTGCTCCATTTTCCAGAACGGTAAGGTTTCCTGAGGTGTTCTTGTGACTGAAAGAGGAGTTGATGCTCATTGTCAGAGCCTACTGCAGTGGAGCAGCCGGGACATGCTGGGTACCTGCAAAAAACAAAGAAACCAGGAGGTAACACAAGGAATTGGAACGTTATCAGTTGAGTGCTGTACCTTTCTTATGACTATGATTATTCAATTGTCTTTTAAACTGGGCCTAAAACTAAATTCTGCATTCCATGATAATCTGTTCTTTTGGTGTAATTGTATTTCATTATTTCTTATCACTGTGACACACGTGCATGCCATTTCCAAATTTCATTTTTGGGAGAGAGGTGGGATATAAGTCAAATAAACAAATAAACCAAAGTGTGCTTGAAATATGCATTCAGCACCAATGCACAGAAGTGTGCTGAAGATACACAGAACAAAATGAGTACAGTGGCTGAAATCCTGTTGCTTAGTGTGGTAAGTTGCATAAGAATAGGCCTGCTGACTCAGTGGAGATCTGGTGAGTCCAACTTTCAAGTTTAATTGATTCAAATGGGCCTACTCTAGTAGCAACTTATTATGCTAAAGTTAAGTCACAACTTTGAATCAAAGAACCCTGTGGAGAAGCTGACTCATCAGATCCCCGCTGATTCAATGGACCCACTCTAGAGTGACTTACAAAGCAATAGGATTTCTGCCAGTCTGTCTTATTCCATAAATTGGGAAATGCTGAAGGCACGTGGTCGGAAAACCACGTTACAGCTCCCATGTATGTTCAGCTCTGTTTCCTTGCTCATCCTCGTTTGTAAGCCAAAGAGCTGGTATTTGTCCATAGACACTTTCCATAGTCATGTGGCCAGCATGAGTAGACACGGAACATCGTTATCTTCCCATCAAGATGGCACCTATTCATCTACTCGCATTTGTATGCTTTTGAACTACTAGGTTGGCAGGACCCGGGACAAGTAACGGGGGTTCACTCTGTTGCGTGGTTTTGAACTGCCAACCTTTCGATCAACAGCCCAGTGGTTCAGCGGTTTAATGCACAGCGCCATTGACGTCCCTTTCTAACCATGTAGGAAATGCCATATTACTTCTTATAAGAATCACTTTGCAAGCTCAATCAAAATTAAAATGTCCCATGTTGGCTTGTAAAAAATGAGTTCACCACCAGTCAGTGCCAACCTCTTATTTACAGCGAATTAAATTTCAAACTCAAAATACATCCAGTCCTGAGACCTTTGTCAAGACTGCACATTTCATTTAATGGAAGTATTAAACTGTAATTATGTAATAGGTGAAATTGTATCTAAGAACTATGCTCTGCTTAATTTTATCCTGCAACGCAGGTCCATTTATAGTGAAGCAGTTTGGAAAACAATGGATTTAGCACATGTTTTCTCTAACATTTATAAAATCATATCTCTGTGGATTGTTTATTAAGAACATAAAGAGCATGTGAAATATGTTTCCCAAGGCAATAGACTCTCTTTATCTTCAAAATGACACTTCCTGGCTTCACTGTAGCAGGTGTGTGGATAATCATGAGATTATAATGATTATTATATGAGGAGCAGTTTGTAAGGTAACTCACTACTGGCTATTACTTTCTTACACAGTTTGGTACATAGCCTAGATAATCCTTCATGTCCCCTGACACTGTTTAATTATGTTCTTTGATGTATAACAATATTTCCAGAAATTAAAGCCCAAGTACCCATTAGGTTCACTGTAAATTAGACTTGATAGCCATCACAACAACAGACAATTTGAAAGCAAGCAATATTAAAATCTCCCCCTTTTAGTCTTTAGGTGAGTATTGGAATTTCTGTCCATGGCCAACAGCATTTTGGAAATGCACAATAGTGTGTTCAATAATTAATTCTGGAAATACTTTCCAACAAAGCAAAATTGCAATTCTTAACAAAACCTGTAAGATATGCTAATTGGTTCAATTACGTTATACATCTGAGCAAGACAAAAACTGTGTGAAGTGTGGCTGCCTTCTCTCAGGTGCCATGCCCACTTACCACAGATGATCTAAGCAAGAAGTCCAAAGGCTTACTGCTCAGAGGTACCGTCTGGTAAAATTTAAGCTCTTTTAATGATGAAACCAGTGTCCTTAGATGGAGAAGGATAAGCCTGTGCTTAATTTTCCCATGAAAGTCAGTGGGAGTTTTTGAAAATCTTTGCCTGGGATCACTGTGAAGTTTCTTTCTGCTGATTGGCAATATAGAAATGTTGCATATTTGATCTGAGTCTGTTGATCCACAATGAATACTGTATATGATAGAATATCATTCAGTATGCCATACCATGCAGTAGCCATAAGGCAGAGGAAGAAGTAGGGCTACAGTAACCTTCCTGAGAAACCAGTCTCATAGAGCTTTGCACCTCTCCTGCAAACCATCTAGGAACCATTTCACCAGGCTGACAAATCTCCAAACTACAATTCCCTCTGGGTATTCATGTGTCAGTGTAGAATGTACCTACAAGTAAGTAACCTACAATTTAGAGCCCAAGCAATTTCAATTTCAATTCATTTCAATTTCCATTTATTGTCATTGAACGTATACACCATATACACATACAACGAAATTCACGAAGAACACTAAAACCAGACCAAAACACACAGGCAGACACTCGTAACATCTCTAAGTTCTCAAAACATGGCAAAAAAGGCGGTTTGAAATAAGATTTTGCTCATAACTGATGCAGTGCATCAGTGATGATCTACCTGTTTGGGAAAAAAAATCCCTTCCCCTGTTGCTCCCCAGAGCAGCAGAGGAAGTGCTCAATTTCCCAATATCCTGAAGTGGCTTGCTTATTAAGCCACTTCAGGATATTGGAAATTCGAAACAGCCAGACCAAATAAGGTCTCTTGAAGTCCCAGATGCCATTTGGATGCCAGAATCACACCAAATGGCATATTGTCCCTCCACCTGACCAAAAACGACCCTATTTAGACTTCACCAAAATGACCAGTGTAGACAAGCGACTTAGATTAGGCTCTCAGAATGTCTTGATCCGGCCTTATGCAAACTTTAACAGGCCAAAAAGGCTCTCTGTTTGTTTTTCTGCAGAGAACTGGTTTATTCACACATTCCCAAGTGACATAACGTGGCTCAACAGAAAAGCGGCTCAGCTTCCACAGAAGGACGCCTCGGCGTGTGACGGCGGGCAGCCAGGTCGCCTCACCTACCAGGCCGAAGGCGCACGGATTGAAGCCACAAGATCTCCCCTTCTCATCTCGGAAGGGGGCCGGAGCTCGATTTGGAGCAGGGCTCGATGAGAGACGGGACCCCTGCTCATGGAGCTTGGCACCATCTCGCCGCAATCCCAGCGGAGAGGCAGCTGTCCGTAGTTGGCAAAGTAAACCCTCCCCAGAGGCCCTGACAAGCACCGCCGCTCGCCCGGAGAAACCGCTCCTTCTTCCCGGAGGAAAGGGAGCCTGATCGGCTGCTTGCATGAGAAATCGAAAGCCTTCGGTTTTCCTGCTGCCGCCGGGGATTGCCAAGGGAGCCCAGCCACGCTCGCCGGCCTGTGCCGGGCCGGAGTTCCCTTCCCGGTCCTCCTCCAGCGGCCTCTCGCGGAGGCGTGGAGAAAAGTGGCGGGGCGCCCGCATTTGGCCCGCGCTGTGTGCCACCCTTTGCCCGGCGTGCCAGTCCCGCGATCGACGAGAGAAGGCGGCAGATTCTCCCACGGAGGCCCCGCAGGATCGACAGCCCGCCCAAGACAAGAGGATCCATATCTTGCTTCCGAGGCAGAGACTCCCCCCCACCCCACCCCCAGTCTCACACAATGGGGTCTCCATGGCGCTCGATTTTATTGGGGGGAGGGGGAGGAACCCGCCAGATTCCTTCCACCGGGAGGACCGGGGACCCACTCACCGTCAGATCAAGCCGCTCCCTTTTTGCTCTGCTGGTTTGTTTAGTGATGGGGCGATTTAGGGTGGGGGGTTTCAGGTTACCGCTCCCCAGACCCCCCACAGTCTCCTCCGCGAGAGTTTCAGAAAAATTGTCCGACC